CCCCCCCCCAAAACCAGTTGCTGCACTTGCTCAGCTTCTTGATAGATCAGAGTGTCCCCCTTTCTCTTTCGGTCGTAAATCTCGTATCTCATCTTCCATAACAAAATTCTATTATCGGGGGTGGATGGAAGTTGTGGGGGAGTGCAGTTGCACTGATTCCAGATGTGCTTGTTTTCCTATAGTCTTCTGGCTGTTAATCTTGTATTCCATATTTAGAGTGATGGAGGGCGGTGTGAACATGCTTGGGGTACAGTTGCACCAACTTCCAATATCTTAAACCAGTAGCCGACCTAGGTGGTTGTGTGTTTCCGATTGCCGTCTGGCGTCTGGCGTTTTTCATGCTGTAACAAAGTGGGATTGTGGTTCCATAATTGCTGTCTTCGGTAGACTGCGTATCCCAGAATGTTTCTCGTTTGTAGGTGGTACAGTGGGATGTTATGGACAAATGGTGAATATGTCAAGAGTTAGACGCTCCAGCTCCAAATACCCCAAGACAAAACCCCACCTTTCATAGCGCCCGCTTCACAGTTGTATTGTATGGGTAGTAGCAGATGGTTGCAAATTCTTTGTTTTTTCCAGTAATATCCAATAAGTTGTGCCCTCGAATTATAATGGCGAGTAGTTGGGGCGTATATGAGGGCAGTTGTTATTCCCCAGTGGCGAGTCCTGAACCACTTGTTAGTAAGAAAGTCAGGGTGGTCAGACAATGTTCCCAACCATAGGTGGACATGATATAAAGTCAATCATCTGCTAGCAATGTATCTTCGGTAGAAATGAGGTATTCTTTTAGCAGAGGCAGCGCGCCCTGTGAATGGAAGTGTGGGCTGTCCTTCAGTCAGAGAGCGCGGTCCCTCGAATAAGAACTCTGTCAAAAGGGGGCTGTGGTTTTACACAAATCAGATCAGGCCTATCTTATCCCAAAGAGGATAAGTAGCCCTTTTCCCCACCTGTGCTCGGTGTCTAGTTATTCGTATTTGAGGTCTCTTGTTGAACACTACTACTCGAAGTCTATACTCCAACTGCTAATGTCAGTAAGCGTTAACTAGCTGTGGATGGAGGTATTGAAAGGGCATAGTAGCCACCCGTTCATAGAGCAATGCAGTGTTCCTTGAGCCTTGGGTTATGATACTTACTCACTTTGACAAAGACATTGGCCTTCTCCGGTGGAAAACCCCCTGGTGCATGCATCTCCTCCCAGTTAACTGGCATCGCTGTGCTTATTCCTCATACGCCACGCCAATGCAGCTCTAGGTGGGGGTTGGTGCAATGCGTGAGGTGTTTCATGCAAGTCCTCCAGATGTTGTTGAAAAGGATAAACTCTCAAAGGGCTTAGAGATCGAGACCCCTCCTGGAGCTATGCGGAGGAGAAGCGCCATCGCTATAGCATTCGCGAGTGCGAGGGGGATGATTCGCTAAAGGGCTACAGAGCGCCGCGCTTCGTCTTCCTTCGCACATTCTCTTCTTCTTTCCCACAACAACAACAACATCAACACCACCACCACCGCTGATTGACCACATATCAATCAACACCTCAACCTTGTCCCTTCTTCCTTCTCGGGTTTAGGTACCTTCCTACACCTCCGCCCCCTTCCCCAATCCTCGATCTGTAAGTCTCCAACCCCGTTCTAGCCTTGTCGCGGTGCTTCCTTGCCTTGCTCCCATCCTCGCGCTGCCATCAACGCTTGAGGCAGAGTTTTGGTAGCCCATCTAAACGATCATCTCTGGTTGATACTTGTCGGGAACCCCTCCAAAGGGTTTGCTCTTGGATGAGGTGCCCAGAGGCGCATTCGTCTACCGATTCCATTGCGGCCGCAGCCTTTGCTAACTCACCTCCTTTACAACAGTTCGTCAGTTTCAGATCTTTACAGAACGTTGCCTCAGTGCCCTTTTCCCTAACGTAAGTCTGGCTATCTTCGCTGCTCATCTCGCGATCTTGATCATTCTACATTGTCGAGGATGTTCTTCGACCGCTCTCCTCTCGTTTTCACTCTCGGAGATGCACAGTCTGTTTGGACTCATCTCCAATGACGCCAACTCCCCCCATCGCGACATCTACCGACCACACCCCTTATCCTTCCCAGACATAGCGGTTGGGGACCTCGATGAGCTCTTGCTAACGATTGCCCTCCAACAGAACAACCAGAGGTGCGACTCTAGACTGTACAGGTAAGAAACGATACCGTCATTCGTCCTACCATACGATCGATAAGCCACAATACATAATGTTACATCCTTGCTTATCGATGTCGCATACCCACAACCAAACCCAGCGGTTGGTTATACCTACATACCCTTTGACGTCTTCTTCCTCTACCCTATATCTCCCTACCTCCTATACCTCACTACCTCCCATGTCTCCCTACCTCCCATATCTTCATACCTTCTATGCCTTTTTACCCTCGACATAATTTCATACATTCTATACCCTCATAGTCTCATAGTCTCAATACCTTCACACCCTCTTTCAATTTTCACCGGTCAATATAACCATTGTCCACCCCAACTTCCGATACTATATTCTTCACTTCTCTTTATATGACATGTCCTTGACGACAGCTATTTGTCTTGAATCATGCTTACTATTCCCTAGTCTCGTCGATATTTCAACATGTCTGCTTGGGACACCAAGGATATGTCTACCGCTTTGGCTGCGGAGGACTCTGGTCCCTTGGCTCAGGCCGAAGGCTCCAACCCGGCTGTTGCTGAGCCAGCTACGCTAGCTGTTACTTTGGCTAAGACCCCCCAGGAACATGGTTGGGCCGCTGCAGAGGGCTACAACTATGCTTCTTACAACAAGTCATTCAAGGAGATCGCCGAAGAGAATGCCCAGGCCAGCATGGAGGACCCGTCGATCGGAATCCAAGGTGCTGTTGGTGGACTTCGCCCTGGCGAGTGGTCAAGCAATGCTGCTGTTTACGAGTGGGAGGGTGATGTTGGTGACATTGGCCCACCTCATCCTGACCTCGAGAAGCAACTGTTCAGCTCCGAGCATCATGTGAAGGCCGGCATTCAATTTCAAAAGTAAGTCCCTAATTTGGTTTAATTCCTTGGAAGAGCACCCGCTAACTCTGCTCTAGCATTGCTATGCTTCATGTCACTCAGGAGGGCGAAGTTCGCATTGATCCCGTTCGGAAGTTTGAGGATGCAGGCCTGCACCCAGCTATGTTGGAGAATGTGAAGTTGGCCGGTTATGCTGTCCCAACTCCCATTCAACAATACTGCTTGCCTGCAGTCTTCAAGGGATATGACATCGTGGCTTGTGCTCAGACCGGTATGTTGGCTATGTCGCTCTTCTCTGGTAGCTTAGTTACTAACTTCGGATGGGAAATAGGGTCAGGAAAGACCGCTGCATTTTTGATTCCCGTATTGTCAAGGTTGATGGGCAAGGCCAAGAAACTTGCGGCTCCTCGTCCCAACCCGGTCACATTTCAACCTGGTATTACTCCGCCTGTTCGAGCTGAACCGCTTGTTCTCATTGTCTGCCCAAACCGTGAGCTCGCAACCCAGATTTTCGATGAGGCTCGTCGGTTCTGTTATCGTACCATGCTTCGCCCATGCGTCGTTTACGGCGGTGGGCCTGTGGTTGAGCAAATAATGCAACTTGCGAAGGGTTGCGATGTCCTGATTGGTACTCCAGGTCGTCTTTGTGACTTTATCAACCGCCCTCACGTACTGACATTGAAGCGCCTGCGTTATATGATCATTGACGAGGCTGATGAGATGCTGCACTCCGACTGGGAGACCGAGTTGAATAATATCATGTCTGGCGGTGGTACGTCTCAGCCCAAATAAACCTTCATACGCATTCTAACCAAGAAAATAGACCAGGAGGAAGGCAATATCAAATACATGATGTTCTCGGCCACCTTTCCCAAGGAGGCCCGTGCTCTCGCCGGCAAGCATCTTGCTAATGATCATGTACGCATTCGAGTTGGTCGTGCAGGAAGCACCCACAAGAATATCAAGCAGGATATCGTCTGGGTCGAGTCTGCTCAGAAGAAACAAGCTCTTCTCGACCTCCTTATGTCTCTTCCCCCAGCTCGGACCATCGTTTTCGTCAACAGCAGGCGCGCTTGTGACGAGGTTGATGATTATCTTTTCAACTTGAAGATTCCATGCACTGCTATTCACAGTGGTCGCACCCAGCGTGAGCGGGAGGATTCCATCCGTGCGTTCCGCATGGGTAAATGCCCAGTCCTCATTGCAACTGGTGTCTCAGCTCGTGGTCTTGACATCGGCAACGTCAACCATATCATCAACTATGACTTGCCATCTCCCCAGTTTGGTGGTATCGACGAGTATACCCATCGTATTGGTAAGTTTCCTAAAACTTCGCGAAATCCTTTCCTATATTTAGGAATGCAATGATAGTGTTTAAGAGTCTAGTAGGCTAACAAAATTACTAGGTCGTACCGGTCGAATTGGTAATGACGGCTTGGCTACGTCGTTTTACAACGACCGCGATGCAGATATTTCTGAGATCTTGGTGAAGACTTTATTGGAGACCGAACAGCCTATCCCCGACTTCCTGACGCAATACATTCCTGAAGGTTTTGTTCCTGGACAAGGCAATATCAACACCCTTCAGTTCGAGGCCGACTCTGATGATGGAGATGCCGAGGCAGATGCTGGTGCTGGTGCAGGATGGGGTACTGACGACGCTGCTCCTGCGGCTTTGCCAGATGCCGCACCTGCTTCGGCTGACGCTTGGGGTACAACCTCTGGTGGCGGTGGTGCTGGATGGTAGATTCTCTGACCTCGTGTGGCTTGCAGCTATACTCTCTGGTTTTATACAACGTATAGACTGGAGATCTAGCCATCTCCATGCTACACAGGAAGGGGGCGCATATGTCTCTTGCAATCAAATGCATAGGCATTTTCTATCTTCGCCTTATCCCATGATACCTGCAATGGAAGGGAATGGCCTTGCTGTGGACAAGGACTCCTGGAAGTTGGGCAGGTGGAAATCTTTTGTCGATGCAAGCTGAACGTAATAGGTCTTTGCTGATTATTGCGATTAGAGTAGCAAAGATAAAAGCAAATGCATAAAAACAAGTGGCCCCTTGCTGCGACCTGACTTATTGATATTCAAAGTGATAACGAAGGTGGATGCTAACCAGGGCTTAGGAATTAGTAGCTAATCCCAAAGGGTCTAAACCACCACCGAATCTACAAGGAATTATGTAGATTTTTGCTTCAGACGATGTTGAAACTCGTGTCGTAAATCTTTCTTCATATCCCAGCCACCGCGAGTGCCCTCGACATATGCTGGAATTTGATTTTCAAAGAGAGCATAAGGAGCGAGAGAGGTACACCAAGACCGCCGTCCTCATGCCTGTCCGCTTGTAGAAGAGGAGAACCGCTCCACACGATGTTTCCCAGCAAAGGTGCCGCAAAAGCACATGCAGATCCAGTCCATCTAGACTACTTTGGACGATAAACAGCACCTTGATTTCGATGACGATATTGTAGATTACCACTATAGCGACGATGACGATTTCAACAGTAGTTATTTCGATCTCGAAGATAACTGTAATATCGTAGGGAGTGCCATCAATCCGGACTGCTAACCTGGCGATAGAGTTTTATTTCTTCTCAAACGACATAGGAATCTTTTATAATCAATAGGCTTAGGAGGGAGAATTCCTATAATAGCTTTAGATAAGTATAATTAACAAATATATAAAACCTACTTTTATCTCTCTAAAAATTGAAGACTCCTAAATCCCTCGCTAACGAAACTACTTTAACTCCCTTTTAATACTAGAACCGAATTGTCACTCCGACATTCACTTACAATTTCATAGCCTATAGTTATTTAACTTAATAAATGGAATGTCTTCTACTTGTCGAATAATATCAATAGTATAACAATCACTTCTCCAGTGCTCGAAGCCTGGATCGAGTATACAAAAAGGCACAAAAGATAAGCCGCACTATCAGACGCTGTTTCCCTTGCTAAAACCCTAAACAGTGTTGCGTTTTCTATAAGGGCACGACAGCGAAGCTGTATAAGTCTAAACCTCTCACTCTTTAAAAACATACTAACTTTGGGTTTTCTATAGGATCCTTTGGGATCCTTGAGTTTTACTGTTTTTAGCTCGGGGGTATATATAAGGTACAAAAGGAGTATCTAGTAAGGAAGAGGATTATGAAAACATAGCTTACTTTTTTGATATCCTTTTCAGTAAAGAATCTGTTTTAAAGACAGGTGCGACAGCACTAGTCAACTAATCTTTAGTTTCATTTTAATTAGAGTTTGTTAGGTTAATAGATTTTTGAGTTTGCTACGTTATTATCTTGTGTATAATAATATCGAATCGTAGAGTCGGTAGAGGAAGAAGAGAGCCTGTTTTATAGAAATGTTACTATCTTACTATTACAGAAGTCTAAATCTTTTATTAGTAGAAGAAAAAAGGGTACCTTGTTATATCTCCCTTGCTTACTGTTTTAGTATTCTAGATTTTTCCAAGTAGTTTAAAGGACTACACTCTACATATTTAATAGTATTCTAAAGCTTAAAATCTTTAATATCAACTCAGATTTTCAACAGACAAAAAGCTCTATTATATATTAGCTATAATTTCTTTTCAATAATAGTCATAAACTACTCTTTTATCTAAAGATTGTTCTCGCACTCAAAATTAGACTACATGTTTTCCGGGGTCTTCAAAATCGAAGTCCAGAAATTCGAAACAATCTTCATCGCTTTGTCCTATTGATAAATTCAATGTGTTTTTCGTAGGAAAATCAAACCTATAATTCGCAAAATCGAACATTTCCATATCTTTGTCACTTTCAATCATTTCGATCGTGTCTAGATCCAGGTCCCAAGGCTGAGTCGGCCCTGACAACAAAGGGCTTACCATCTCGTTCAATTCTTCCATCCTTCCATCACCAATATCACTTCCCTTCCTCGTTACTGCGTTAACAGCATCTCTATTTCCTCTAACAAAAGTCCTATACTCACCAACCCGCATCCCGGTAACCTTCTTAAAAACTCTACAAAAATGACTTTCTGTCAACCCCACCTCTTTTGCTAGATCTTTCACAGTCCACTTCTTCTCCTCACACCTACCCTCGTCTTCAATCAACTTCTTCGCTTTCTGCACTGCTAGAACCTGCGGGTCTCTTTCCACGCCTGAATTACCAAGCTGTCAGCAATTATTCAAAGCTAGAGGGATCCTCAGGATAGAAAGAAAGGAAGAAGGGAAGCCAGGGAAAAGTCATATAAGTGACGAACTGAAAAACTACTCAATCAATCCCAAAGCAAAATCCAACTAACCATTTCCCACCTCCGGTCGACATCGTTTACAAGCTCTGAACCCCTCCCTCTCAGCCTCAATAGCACTTTCATAAAATTTCACATTTGCTCTTCTTGCAAGTCGGGACGGACAATCTGCGCGACAGTAGATATTTGTAGTTGTTACTGAGTAGACGAATGAATTTGTTGCGGCTGGGTTGCGTGTAACGAGGGCGGCCCAGCGTGATGATGGAGTGCTGAAGGATGGGTTGCGGGAAGACTGGGCCATGATCTATGAACGAAGGGTGTTTGGCGAAAGATTTGAGTTTATTTAAATGTTTGGCCGAATTGAGCATGAATTGGGGTTTCAGATTGATATTTGCTGATAGGGAATCGAGACTTTGATTAAATAGCGGAACGAGGCTTTCTCTCAGACAATTTTGGTCGTTATGCTACAGCCTAGGTATCAATCAAAAGAGGGTAGACAAGCCAGGTAAAACAAAAAGGATCTTAATCTATGTTGCGATGAAATTCACGAATAAGAGAGAATGATGAGGTCCAGATGGATGACTCATCCTACTTGCTGTTAAAGTGACCAATCACTAGGCACTAACTGGAAGGACAACTTCCTCAACCTGAGGATTGAAACTCTCATGAAAACACAAATCGTGTTTATTTAATTCTACTTCTTCAGATTCGACTAATCTTCCAATATTCATTGAAAACAACCATCAGTCATGACGGTAACTCCCTATCGGCAATTGGAGGATTTAAAGGCGAACCACAGGATACACCACCAGGGATAAACCAGGCGATGAAGAAGCTTTGTTAGAGAAGGAAGGTATGATTTTCGATAATAGAGGAAATTTGGTTGATCAGAGGTGTTAGTGGCATGGTTTTGAAGTTTGATACATATGACGAGAGATTTATTCTAAATTCTAGCCTCAAAAATATTATCCGAATTATATTTTGCTATATGAGCCTCATCAATACTAGATAAACCGTGATCCGCAGTATGAATCATGCTCGGCTATAGGGAAATAGCTCCAAATACACATTTCATCTGCTGAGACTGTAAATGCGCAGATCAAGATTAAGACCGACCGACTGAGGTAGTATGTATCACAATTTTTGGACCGTTTCAGGGCCTGTGGTGCTTTAAGGAAGAGTTTCAATATTCAGATCTATGAAGATATCAAAGTTTATTCGCGATAATTCTAGAAAAAACCAGATAAAATACATATAACTTTTCCTCGCCAAATTTGTAACCCCTGAAATTAATCCTCCCAGTTCCAAACAACACCCCTTCAACAGCTATAATTTTCAATTCTTTTCACAGTTCGAGATATTTGGAGAGCCCGTTGCTACGAAGAAGCTTATAGCTTATACTGAGTTAATTAATTCAAACGCTGGAAGAGGATTTCTCATCTACAGTCACGTGATTATGATTCCCCCCTGTTTCGGCCAGATTGTTGACTAAACGTCGTCTTAATTTTCCCTCCTTCCTGATGGCTATATTTATATCTCGCGATACCGCTCTCTCTTATAAAGACCACCTCTACTCCAACACATTTCTCCTCAACCCGCAGCCCTGTTAGCCTTGCATGTTCGTCTCATAAGCACGCAAATGATTCCACCAAAGGCGGTCGCTAGCCCCCACCTGACAGGAGTCACAACACCCAACCATTCGACGAATTTAATCCGTAACGGCAATCATCTGTATACCATAACACCATAACTCACCCCTATGTGACAAGGCGTTATTTACTTCTTCTTCTCCTTAAATATATACCGTCACCGCAGCTATACGGGCACTCTCCTTTGGCAATGTAGCCAGTACGACTACATTCCCGGATATCCCAATGCAGAGATTCACAAGCAAGGGAAGATATCAGCAGCTTGTTGACGCTGGCGAGGAGGGAGAGGGGGGTGCAAGCAGAAGAGAAGTGGAATACGATGTATTTTCGCCAAGAGAAAAGAGAAGAGCAATAAAGCGCGGCAAGAAACTTACCGGTATCACCAAACCCGAATCCTGTAGAGTTCCTTGAAACAGACTTAGCAATGATTATAGTCCAGTTTCTGCTCTTGTTGGTGCTTCTACCCTCTATTCCTCTAGCACCAGCTTCTCAAGCAAGGTTGGATCACCGGCCGGTTCTTACAACTTCCAAGACGGAGGTATTGTCAAGTAGGCCACTAGCATCCGTCGGCGGTGTACCACACTATCTTGTATGACTCGATGAAAGTAGCTTTTCGAATTTCCTACATTCGCAGCCAACTCTGCAGGCTGCAAACCCTTGCCTGCACCTGCTACTTGTCAGCACGCTTGGTCAACAAATTCGCCCTATGGGTCATATACCGCCAGGTCAGGCTTGCACCGCTTGCAGGCCCGAAAGCCCAGCTCTCGCGCTTTAGCGGGCCCATCAAAGAAGCAAACATTGGTACGGCGAGCGAGGCATGCCGGGCATGTTGGGCGGCAGTAGATACGGGCTGTCTTGACGACGTAGATGAACGCGTTCACGGCGGTAGGATCACGGGTCACGAGGGCTTTCCAGCCTGAAGCAGAGTTTTGAAGTTGCAACCTAGCATGGATTTGGCGTACATGATGCTTCTCAAAAAGAGGATGATGCCTTAGTGAGACTGCGCCGTGGTGGAGATTCGAACGGGTGTTGATAATGGCATATAGTCTTGAAGTTAACGCACTGATTGGTCAATTTGAAAGTAGTGCTACTAGAGGAGTGGGAACTCCGCTGCATCTCAACTCTCTCGACTCAGAGACTTGCGATACTCACCGCTTTGTCTCCGCTTACTATATCTTATCCATTGCATTAGTTGAGCTACTATCTGTGGATATTGGCAAGCTGATTACTGGATGATCCTTTTGTGACTCGTTTTGTGACTCGCAGGTACGTGTCTCTCATTGAGAGCAGACATCTATGCTTTTAAAGTAACCAATTATATATTCGCAAAGGTTTTATTTTTTAGGCTTTTTCGTGTATTACTTCCGCTGTTGCATGGGTATTTCTGCATTGTTGGTAATGTTGCCAGTTAGGATTCTAGTTGAGGTGATGAGTTGGAGTTAACTGCTTTATCTCTGCTCCACCATAGCTCAGGTTCTTGTGCAGCTGTGCTACTAACCGCGGATATTGGTATTGATTTACCAGGGATGAGAGCTATGACAACACTCTGAGATCAGATATATATAAGACAACTTTATTCTCCCATTGTTCATTATCAAATACCAAACTCAGTTCTCGTTCTCAGCACTCTGGTACTGCAAAACTGTCATTTATCTAGGAACTACCTTCTCAGAGTGAGCTTTCCTTACACAACCGGCACTATGGCATCAATTCAGACCGACGAACCTGTTCCAAAACATCAGACTATCTCTCCGGCGATCTTTTACTGGGGTACGCCTGTCGTTCTGATCACTACCGAAAATCCAGATCTCACCTTCAACATAGCCCCAATGTCTTCTGCTTGGTGGCTCGGAAATCGTTGCATGCTCGGGCTCGGCGCCATTTCCCAAACGACTATCAATCTTCTCCGTACTAAGCAGTGCGTCCTCAATCTAGCTTCAGATAGCATGGCCGGCGTAGTGAACGCTCTCGCTCGAACCACGGGCTCTGCGGAGATCCTAACGGCACAGCCAGATGAGGGGTACAAATATTTCAAGAGGATGAATGGTTATGTCTATGTTCATGACAAATTCGGACATGCCAAGTTGACGCCGCTCGAATCGGATTTGGTTCGCCCTGCCAGGATCATGGAGTGTCCGGCACAGATGGAAGCGGAACTTGTTGGGGTATATGAGATGATGCAGGACGCAGATACCAAGGGTTTTATTGCGTTGGAGGTTAAGGTGTTGAGGACTCATGTCCATGAAGACATCAGAATGGAGGGACGGGAGAATCGGATTGATCCTAACAAGTGGCGCCCCATGATTATGAGTTTTCAGGAGCTTTATGGATTGAAGGGTGGAAAGGTTGAGGAGTCAAAATTGGCAGGGATTGGGGAGGAGGAGTATAGGGCATTTTCTAATGCCGCTGAAGTTGAGGTAGTGAACTGAATAGACAGACGAGAGATGGTCAAAGCTCATGGTAAGAACCATGCTAAACAGATAGCGAAATTGCAGTAGTATAGAAGAGGTTTCCTTCCATTTGCACCATTAAAATTATCCAGTTGTTGTACTAACCAATAGCAGCCATCTTGCTGTCAAAGTGGCCAATCATAGTCATCTTGTTGTCAAATTGGCGAATCACAAATATATCGGCTAGAAATCTAGCTCCCCTTACTCCTTCCATCCACTTCGACACAAGAACCAACCTTATATTGTACGCTGTTGTCGCGGATGAGAGGCTGTCTGTTTCAAGAAGTATCATATTGAACAATACTTCGAGCGTGTCAAAACGATGAATTCTCCCAAGCCTTATGACCCAACTGGGATTCAATACTATTCCATTCCCTCATTCCTTTTCAACACCGGTCGCAGTCTTCCTGTCCGCGTCGCTTATCGCTCTTTTAATTCGACCCTTCCGAGAGCGGTTTGCGTCCCGACGTCTGAGCATAGTCACATCAATACCACCAACAACTTTACTTCTGGCGCATTGAAAGATTACCATGTGGTAGTCGTCGCGATGCTCGGCAACGGAGAATCTTCTAGTCCATCCAACACCGTCACCTTTCCACAACCGCTCTACCAGGACTGCGTAAACGCATCCCACGAACTTTTCACCAAGCACCTCAATATCAACGAGCTGGAAGCTGTCATAGGGTTTGGCATGGGTGGACAGCAAGCTTATTATTGGATGTGTATGCGTCCTGACTTTGTCAAGAGCGCTGTGGTGATCTGCGGTTCTGCACGGACAAGTCCTTTCAACTACACGTTGCTTGATGGGACCGCCGCTGCGCTGAGGAGCAGTGCTGGCTATTCAATAGAAAAGGCTAGACAGCAAGGTATAGAGCTAACAGCGGGACTACATGGCTACGGAAAGGTGACTTGTGCGTGGTCGACGAGTTCTGCCTGGTTTAAGAAGGAGTTATTTAGAACTGTGCTGGGGCTTGAAACCATTTCCGAGTTCATCGAGATGTATGACAGCGCGTTCAAAGGTTGGAATGCCGCAGATCTTTTAGCACTAGTGAAGATGTGGCAGCTCGGGGATGTAGGAGCGTTGAGAGACGACGGGAGTTATGTAAAGGCTCTAGAGGATATTACAGGAAGGGTATTGGTAATAGCCTCGAGAAGGGATTACTATTTTTCGTAAGCCTTCTAACAGAACTCCGCTTAGAGATGAATTTGAAGTATATAACCGTCACTGACATATATCATTTTACTAGGCCTGAAGAATCTGCGATTGAGCTAAACTATCTCAAACTGGGGACACTTGAGATACTGGAGACAATTTGGGGCCACGCGGCTGGCACTGGTGCTTGCAAAGAAGACAGTGAACAGATTGACAGGATGATTGCTACTTTTCTAGGATATAATTAATACCTTCTAGTAACTATATAGTTTTATCTCAGATATTATCACGAATATAAATAGAAGTACTTTGATTAAAGAACTATCTCTACTCTACCCCTCTATACCCTTTTGTATAAAATCCGACGATCTATAGCCTAATATTATAACTCGTACGACAGTTTTGCTACCCCGCCCGAGAGCTCTCTGAATATCCGAGAAATTCCGTCCGGCCAAGAAAAATGAGCCGAGGGCTCAGAAGCCGAAGAACTCAGAAGTTGTATATCGATTATGATGTAGAGAAGAGGTATACCTTCCAGCACGGATGCAAGTAGGAAAAGCCAGTCTTCTTCGGTTTTGGAGGATAGGTACATTTGAAGAAGTGGACAAAGATTGGGCTTGGTGTGCAGATTTTGGTTGATGGTAATGGCTTGGAGTATCAGTCAGACTTTTAATGATGTCGATGTTGGTGGTGGTGTCTAGTGCTGTCGGTGTCTCGCTGGTTTTCAGGGCCCACAATACGGACTACCCGGGGTCTTTCATGATTCAAGGGCGAGATTGCTAGGGCAGCGGACTGTAGAGGATCTAGCTAGTACTTTATGGTATGGTAGTTTATATGTGACGCTGGCTTAGGCTGCAACTGCGGTAAGACCGTTGGCAAAGCAATATGGAACATCTCAACCAAATATAGCTTCGGGATTCGGTCTTCGATAGGCGCCCTGGGGATGCTATTAAGAAAGGTAAATCATTGAAGATATTTTTCGGCAAGCTCTAAACGACACCACCCAAGGTGATCACGAGTAGCTCACAAATAGGGAAGACGGATATCAAGAATTAGAACATGAAAATGTCGTAGTCATAAATACAGATACAAATACATGAAAAAATCATTGTATCTACTAAACGTGATTGATATCCACTCGTATAAATGCATTCTGCCATTTTAGTTTTACAGAAACCAATATCCAGAATCCAAATCATCTAAACAGTTGAATAATACCCTACAACATGAATCCAAAAACCGCCAAAATAGCCACGCTACCCATCACTAGCGAACCGGCCACCCTGCTGCCGGAAGATGCTTGCTGGATCGGGGTTGTCACAGCGCTGCTGCTTGTCGGCTGCTTGACCACAGGCGAGGTGACAGCCACCACAGGAGTAATAGGTACCACAGCCGCAGGGGTGGAGACAATCTTTACCAAGCTAGAACTTGGAGCATATGACACCGCGGTTCCAGTTCCAAGTTGCTTACCCGGCTTGGAGTTGGTTTCTGGCCGGGGATAAGGAGGTGAGGCTGGGATGGGGATTACCACTGCGATGGATGTGGCTGGAGCTGCCGGGACGATCACGGTGCTAGTGTATGTGCTGGTGCTTGCTTTGATGACTGTGGTTATGAGGCTGCCGACGGGGTTGCCTGGAGCGCCTGTTGGGATCGATCCGACTGGGCAGACTGTTGTATACAGCGCAACGGTCTCGGTTGTCACGCTTCCTATCTTGGCTGGGCAGTCTGTAACGGAGGGAGCACAGGCAGTGACTGTGTAAACCTTGGTAGTATATACAGTTGAGGTGGTGTACACGGTGGGAGGCGGAGAAGGAGCAGGAGTAGACTTGGTCACGGGGCACACCGTGGTGTACAGGGCAATGACCTCCGTTGTTACAGATCCAAGTCTGCCTGGGCAGTCGGTCACTGTGGGGGCGCAAGATGTCACGGTATACACGGAAGTCGTGTATACTGTTGAGGTGGTGGATGGCCCGTAGCTCGAGTCAACGGTAGTTGGTTGGGCTATGGTGGTGTTCTGGTACGGGGCAGTTGTCGGGTAGCTAGACGTGGGTGGGCTCGAGACAGGGGGGATGGAGCTGCTGCTGGATGAAGTGACGCCGCCTCCTGGAGTGCTACTGCTTTCCGTGCTGCTCGAACTTGCCTCGGAGGAGGTGCTTGAGCTGGTAGCAGAGGATGTTGAGGAAGACGTTGTGGCAGAAGTGCTTGATAGACCCGCTGAGGACGAAGTTGAGGAAGTCGACGAGATGGTAGCCTCAGAGGAAGTTGAGGAGCTGGTCGAGGAACTAGTCGAGGAGGTCGAGGAGCTGGTCGAAGAGCTGGTCGAGGAACTAGTCGAGGAGGTCGAGGAGCTGGTCGANGAGCTGGTCGAGGAACTAGTCGAGGAGGTCGAGGAGCTGGTCGAAGAGCTGGTCGAGGAACTAGTCGAGGAGGTCGAGGAGCTGGTCGAGGAGCTGGTCGAAGCGCTGGTCGAGGAGGTCGAGGAGCTGGTCGAGGAGCTAGTCGTGGAGGAGGTTGACGAGCTAGTCGTGGATGAAGTCGACGACGTTGAAGATGCCTTGCTGGTCGTGGATGAAGTCGACGACGTTGAAGATGCCTTGCTGGTCGTGGATGTCACTGTGGAGCATATGGCAGGCGGCGTTTGCCCGTTCAAGCTCTCCTTGATGATTTGATAGTAAGGTTTCGCACAGTTGCAAGCATTATTCCTCGAGGTTGTCGCTTCCCACAGCATAACACCTCCAAACTGGCTATCCTGCCTATAAGCGGAGATGAGGTTGTTAGCCTCTACGGCACTGATGTAGTCGCCAGCGTTTTGGGGTTTGCAATCGGCACCAGTTGGAGGAGCGCCTTGAAGACCAATGTAGATCTTAGCGTTCTTGCTCGCACCAGCCTGGACTACGGTCTTCCAGTTGTTGTAGTTCAAGGTTTTCAGGGACGATTCTTTCTTGGTGGTGGCGTAATTTGGATTGGCATTCGCCCAACTACGTGCGCTGCAGGAGGGATTGTTGTAGAACTGAATCCACAAAATGTCGAACTGAGCAGCAGCGATCATAGCGCCCATATTTGCTTCAGGGAGAGGACATTGAGGAGCTCCGGAAATGATGTACTGCTTCTTGGGGTTGGTTTTGAAAAGTTGCCGAAGTCTGGTGATACAAGCAATGAAACCCACTTGGTTATCTGAAGCACTGTTAGCATCAATCACGCGTCCTATAATGAGAACTTTACCATCGGATGTGTGTTCGATATCAAAATCAAAGCCATCAATATCAATGGTGACCGAAGAAGTGTTTGAAGAGCCGCGATCCAAAGGACGAATGCCTCCAGCATCTGCCCATGCCTTGGTCCAAGGCCCATATGCCCCCCACAGGAAATCTGCGAAAGCGACACCTGCAGCTGCTCCTTTAAGTTGGTAGGACGGATTATCTCCTCCAAGTGAGAGCAAGACCTTCTTCCCTTTGGCTTGGCAGTACGGAATATCATCCTGCACGGTAGGGCATTGCGTCCACAGTTGGTCTTTGCTATGGTCGGGGCCTGGTCCATAGTAAACGCTGCCACCCCAGCATGCATTCCCGAAGTTCTGTACCGGGAAGCCATTGCCTTCATTTGGGAAATTAGTGATGAAACCAATGGGAATTATATCGATGGACGATTCATCACAAAATGTCGAAAGCCGATCTTGCCCAGCTCCCGAGCCCTATCCTTCATCAGTTTCTGATTTAGATAAACGAAATTCCTTAAAACCTACCCAGTACACGGCGACATTTGCCGGCGAGGCGGCCGAAGCTGCTGCGATTAAGGAGAAGACAGCAGTAGCGCTGACGACTGCCTTGGTGGAGAACATTATAATGATTGTGGTAGATTAAATAAAAATGATCGTGGTATGGCCGAAGCCGGGAAGGAGCGTAATGACTAGATCGTCAACGAAAGGACGCAAACAAACGTTTGCACAGCACAATGGCCGTTAGAGGGGCGAGGGGGAGGGGGGGGGATAGTTGAAGATGTGGAGAGAGAGAGAGAGAGAGAGGAAAGGAGGGAAAGACGGAGAGAAGAGATATTGAATAAAAGGGAAAGGTCCCATCACCAAGGACGTGCTGGATGCAGCTTAGTCCGAGTAGGCATTGTGATTTGCTCACCAAAGCCACTCAGATATCCCGCCGCAACCGAACGTTTTAGGGGGGGGGGGACTCGGAGATGTGATCTAGAGACCAACAGCGGGACCACTCAGGTGCGTCAGGTCGTCAAATTCAAAGGGGAGCCAGGTACGGAGTACAAGTACGGAGCAATAAAAGCAACGTAGGAGAGAAGTAGACGAGACAGTAGCGATGATAGGGCTCGGTAAAGCTTGACAGAGCCGGTGCATGTAGCCAAAATGGGCTCAAGACCCAGATGAAATATAGAATACTCTGTATACGACTATATGCGGAGTATCGGGACATGGGACGCCCGTCGCCAACATCGCCAGGTACATGTACAGTAGCAGCTAGCGCCGCATGGAGGGGCGCAGGTACGAAGTTCGGTCTGGTCCAAGACGCTGGACGCCTCAACGGTGGTCGTTGGCGCTGGGGGTTGCCCACTCTGGCATGATTATGGCTGGCTACTCCGTGGTGGCGGCGGTGACGCTACTCTAGAGGCCCGACAGTCTGACACGCGGAACGCATGATTGTAATTGTAACCGTAATCGTACACGAGGCACGGTGAAAGCTGATTGTTGGCGTGGAGTCAAGGGGAGAGACCGGAGGCTCAAACGTGTGCTGCTAACCAACGTGCTCGCAGAACGTCCACACTGGTGCGAACCGTCGCAGCCGTAGGAAGTAATCCGGACAGAAGCACGAGTGCGGAGCAGCGCTGCGTGCTGCTCCGCTGATGATGTCGATATACTTCGTCGGTACGAGTATTATTCTTCCTGGTGTTGAGAGGAGAGTTGGGGAGAAGCCGGGCGCTGCAGGGGCAGATGTTGGCAGATTGCTGTTTTACCCACGCCGGACGCTGTTATCAAGCTATCGCCGCGTGCCTGGCTAGAGCCCTTTCTGGCAAATTTGCGTGCCAATCCGCCAATCAAGCATCACCAGCGCCAGGCACGGGGGAACTCTAGGCTCGAGAGTCGCGAGTCTCCAAGGCTCCAGAGACTCTCCAGACTCTAAACAGACTCACGGCGCAGGGAAGCTGAGCGCCGAGGCGCAAAGATGGGATGAAAAAGGATGGACAAGGCGTGTTCTTCACCAGTCAGATCGCGACGCTCGAGTAAACTCCCGGGGCACCAACCAGGCTATCGATTTCGGAGGATTTCCGAGCGTGCCGATGCTCCCTAAGCGTCAATAAGAAATAATGATCCATAATACCCCGTAATCGTACTCGTGCGGTAATAATAGTCTAGATCGTTGCTCTGGTTTGGGTCCCATCCGCTGCGGTGAGTCTGTACTGTACTTCGCATGAAGAAGCATCAGCAAACTGGTAGCAGCAACGGAGCGCCCTGTTTCTTGGGGATTGTACGGTACAGTACCCCATCCCCCCAAGCCATCCATCTTGTTGTTGTTCAAATATTCCGTCGAGGCATCAGGGCGTAGCGGTGTGGGCGGAGGGGCGGAGGGGCGATTCGCCCCACGTACTGTGCCAGAGCGGTTAATCTCCCAGTGCCACCAGTGGTTGGCAAGCATCCCTGGGATTGAAGCCCATCGTGGCTCGATGTACATGTACAGCACATGTACGAGGTGCGAAGCACTGCACGGTGATGTGATCCATGGCCCTCGCCTGCCCCTACCTGTACGCCCTAATCCAGAGCGCTGGAGATTGCAGATTGCTCCCGCCACTGGGCTGCAGTTCGCAGAGGCCGGCGAGAAACCTGTTGCGTAGGGCGAGCAATGATACCGTCCCTCGTTGCCAGACCAGGAAACCCATGTCACCTCGGATTCTGGGACCGTGTATAATAAATACATCTTGACGCTCACCATAATATTAATGCAGCAGTACAGTACAGTACAGTATTGTGATGCGTATGCCGGCGTTTTCGAGGCGTGATTATTATTCCACTTCGTAGTGGGAGACGTGGCCGTGGTTGATCCAGGCACGGACATTGACAGTACGAGTAAGGCTGAAGGATCGGCATCCATTTGTAGCCTCCCAGGCCCTTGGTTTGACGCCATCCGCAAGCCCTCTTCGCAGTACAGAGTACAGCGTGCGGTGCTTCGTAGAGAGCCCAGGTACGCGGATTTGCCAAATCGTCATGGAGATGACCGAGAGAAGAGTCGCGACAGCGTTGCGATCCTCGAGTGCAAGCACTGTTTGCTGCTGTGCACAGTACAAGCAGAGCAGGAGTGTGAATGGGTACCTGCGTCTGTATCCGCATCTACATCCGCGTCTACATACTTTATTACTTCGTCAACGGGCATCCTACGCTTATCCTCACTTATCTCACCTACTTTAGAGGTTAATCTTTTCATTTTTCCTATCAATAGCTAGTGCTATTTTGTTCCACAACTTGCAGGTGCCCTCAAACTTAATATAGCTCTATGTCAATTTCATTTTCACAGTTGAGATTAGTTCTACCTGTTACCAAGTAATCCCAATAGGCACAAATCGTCTTAGTTGCAGCTACTACTCATTTTCAATTGTACAGTGCCCAGACGCTGCAATTTTCTCTCCAGCCTGGCTGAATAATCTGATTTTAGCCTGTGAACGGCGCAAGTTTCTCCCTGTTGTCACACACACTCGTATCAAACAGCAAGTGTCAGGAGCGTACACCCCTGTTAGGGAGCGTGTCTAGAGGAAGTCACGGGATCGGCGAAGAGATCGCTTGAATATACTATAGCCGAAGCTAGTTGACAGAACTAGTTAAGCGCCGGCTCGTGACTATAGTACTCCGACTTAAAAAAGGGGGACTCCTCCTCTCTCTAGAAGAGGCTAGAGATTAGCTTATATAATAATATAAATATTTACTATCGATTATAATTCTCTATTTTATAAGCCTTTACATTCTAATCTCTTCTTTCTATATAGGAGATAGTGTGGTGGGGTGAAACTGCAGGTGTTACGTGAGCGTGCGACAGGAGGAATAGCGGTATAAAGAGGCTCTGGGCACGCGTGTATTTTTATTCTCTCTTTAAGTAATTATAACTCCAAACTCTTAATTTGTAAATAACTACTTCTACTTTTTTATAATACTTTAATTTAACTAAATCTATACTTATTATAACTTTACAATTACTTCCGCTTTTAATTAATATAACTATAGACCTCTTAAATAAAATCTACACCTAAATAAAAGCTCAAACTTATATAATACAGAGTTTCTTCGCGCGCGGGACAATAATTATAATGAGGCTCTGTGCCACCTAAAACGAGGCAATACAGTCTATTCCTATCATTTTTATGATCGCAGGCGTAAATAACTTATCACCTTCCTGTAGATGCCAAGTGGCCCTGTTCTGGGCTTTACGAGTCCCTACACTGCCTCTTTTACAGAGACTTTATCTTTCGTAGAATGTCCTCTCTGTGAAGATATCTCATCATCAACTTCCAGAATTGGTGCTCTTTTTAACGCCTCTTCAACTTCTGCATACGCATCATAACCGTATAACCATGGCTGCACTTGTGGGCAAGTCCTAGACGCGTAGGTCAGCGGAGTACATGGAGAGAGTTGATAGAACGTAGATTACTGACCATCTACTGGGGAACGGGTCTCCTGTGGGTCCACTATTGAGTTGTGACAGGAACAATTCGTCCCTAACCTCTTGCTCAGGGCCATCTGGCATATGGAAAGCCTGCCGCTATAGGGCGGTCTATAAGCTAGTTTTCACATATATTGCAGTGGCACAAGTTGCAACTTACCTGCTTAAATGTTTCTTTTGCTATAGTCTCTCCACGGGCTTTGCGCAGCTGCTCATACAACTTCAATGCCTGTGGAATCTGCTTTTTTGTTTCGATCTTTCCCAGTAGATATCCGAGAACTGCCCCATCCTCTATGGCAGAGTTGGCTCCTTGTGCAAGATATGGTAGCATAGGATGGCATGCATCGCCACTTCTTAGTAGTTAGCAACATCAGTTTGATGGAAAGAGTTTCGTAATATTTACACAAACACAAACTTATCGCTAACCCAGGAAACCAACTCTTGACCTGCAAAAACCGCTAAGTAGAGCAGCTAGGGTCGGGTTTGAAGAACTTACGGTGCATTAATTTCCACTTATCAACTTGCTGGACTATGTCCAGGAACTTCGATAGACTAACAATCAATAAGCTAAAAATATATATTAATGTGACGGTAACTTGACGTACACTGGATCCCAGCCGCTGAAGAGGGCTTTCATTTCTTCCACAGAACCTGATTGACGACTAACACTAGCTGGGAGATCGTCGGGGACAAGCAGGACAATGTTAAACATTTCTCCTCCCCTTAGTGAGTAAGCCACTGCATGCGCTTTAGGTCCGATCCAGAAGTTCACCGAAGGGTTGCTAACCCATTCTCGCAGCTCGGGATCTTTAATCTGATCTAATGACAGGACAACTCTATACGCCAAATCTCCAGTTGGAAGAGGCGCCCCATTTTCGGGCACAAAGCAGTCCCGACATCGAGACCAAAGCCCATCTGCGGCCACAATGAGATCTGAGCGAAACTTTGCCCCTGACGCTGTGGTAACCTCCGGAGTATCGAAATCGATGGATTCTGCCTTTTGGTTGAATTCAAATATAACACCAAGAGAAACTGCGCGATTATAAAGAGCACGTTGCAAATCGACTCGATGTAAATCGAGAAATGGTGCTCCATATCTATCACGCATATTTTTGTTAAAGGCCTTGCCCATAGCTAACGTTGCGCCATCTGAGTATCTGCGTACGGACAGATAAGTTGGCTCCGCGGCATTTCTCCACAAAGAATCCTCCAGATCCCAACCCCGCAATAGCCGGGAGGAGTTTGGTGTGATTTGAAGGCCTGCCCCGGTCTGGATGTTGTTGTGTCAATTACCGTAGCGGTTAAACTGCTTAGAGGGAACTATTCGGGGGGGAAGTGCTTCGACCTACCTCTGCAAGCTCTTTTGCTGATTCAAGTACTGTTACTCGATGGCCCGCGAGGGTGCATGAGATCGCTGTTGCAATCCCACTTAGGCCGGCACCGACGACAATGACGTGCAGATGAGACATTGTCCTTCGTATCCCAGGCGTATCTGGTAATGGAGCTTCGCAATGCTAAAGTTAAACGTATGGAATATTAAAAGGGGCTATTATATTATGAGCTGATAGCAACTCGATGGCACCCCTCGTTTATAGGATCTGGCTGCACCGAAGACCCCACTCCAGAGTTCTAGGCAAGAGTATGGAGCAAGTGCGACACAGCTGAATCCATGCATCATTAAATCTGCCGGGGACAGTAGATCATGCATGACGGAAGGGGCATTTCTCCACGCCTCGGAAGTGAATTGAAAAGTAAACGGAGTCGTTGAGTGGAATCTTGCAATGTGGACTTGACATAGCGTTCGGATGCTTGTTCCAGTTCGGAAAATCCGATTAACCTTGTCCTGCGTCAGAAGCCCATCCCGTTTGTTACAGTTACCGAAGTATTAGCCTAACCAATTTGCCAAAGACACACTCACTGGCTGCAAATAGCATAGTCAAGTCATTACATCGATGCACATTACATATGTTCTGTTGCTCGTTTTATTTGGCAAACCACTTGCTGCGCCTATATCAGCAAAAGCCATCACCAGTCATCATAATCACTATTTACTATTGACATGCATCCGGGCATCCCATTGCCCTACCTCTCTGGAGGGCCAAAATTACCCAAAAAATACTGGCTATCATCCATGTCGCCTACTTCAAACGGGAAACCCACGTCTATCTGGCCGTCCATGAAGTTGAGAGGTCCCCAGAAGTGATTAAACGGTCTACTATCAAGCATAGCATTGTCCTGAGGACCATTATAATTTTGCAAAGCCCTGCTATCTCTGGCTCGTGTCAAGGCTCGCCGTATCATTTTGGCGGCCTTGCTTGCCACAACACAGTCGTCCATAGTCTCCAAAATCTCAATAGACATCTCAACGAAGGAATACAAGGGCTGCTTCTCGGCTTCGGAGGCCTCTTGGGCAATGTAGACAAGAATAATAGATACGGCAAACAGAGTATAAGTGGTGTTGTAATACCTAGAGGCATGGCTGTACATTAGAGACTCTTTATCATGGAGGTGGCCGGCGGATGGTACTGACCACGTGCGGAAAAAATCGTGATGGCGATATGTTTCATAGATGATCTCGATCGTTTCTTTCGCAGATCTAAGGCACTTCTGTATATTTTCTTCGTACAGGGGTGTCGATGGTCGATCCATAGAGGCATCTATCTTAAGAAACGAACCAAATAGCAGCATTCGAACATTATGATATCCTAGGGTTGTTAGCGGGTAACAAATGATCCAAGATTCGGAAATTGATTCCTGACTAATTGATAATACTAATCTCTGTTTCTTCATATACTGTGCATCTTTTACAAACTTCAGTGATCTAGAGCTTGCGAGGGCTTTTGCTGGACGTATGTTGGTCGGCAGGCTGTCTAGCCAGAGATCTAGGTCTTGCTCAATTTGCTGTGCGACCAGTAGATTTCTTTGGATAGGTGAGTCAGACAAGTAGAGTCCTAGGCATACAGTCCTCGTTATCCTAGAAAAGTCAACCATGCATTTGATGATGGCACAATGCGGAGGTTCAATCATATCAGGATTCTGCTGGACATCAGAATTTTCAGCGCGTATTTGTGGATATTCACGATTGTGATAAAGGTCAACTCCAAGAGTGTCGGGGCGCCCCATTGCGAAGCTCATTTCGCTAGCTGAAAATAAGCAACTGTAACGGAAACCAACGGTAACGAATCAGTCGGAAAGCGTACGTTTCAAGAGAATATAGCCCCCTATCAAAACAATCAGATGCATTCGGGGAGTCCGTGTCCGTATAGAGGCCACCCCAAACTCACCACCAGGTTCTTGACTCGGCTTTCAGCAAGGCTGTAGATTTCCGACTCATATGCATAGGCTTGCGATTGATGCCCATTGCCAACGCAGTTCGTACTGCAAGCCCAATATACATATATGACACTAGGCCAATAAATCAGCAATATGGAATAACAAATGTCGATAAAGCAGCGGGAATAAAGGCTCTGTGTACGTACGGTGGGGATTGAGCTCATTTTGACATATTTTGGCCTACTTTAATTAGCGAAACTGACTAGGGTAAAAAGGGGGTCCATATCTCACCATAAAGAAAAAGCATTGCACCATCTCTAAATCAGTAGTCATACTCAGTTCTCCACATAGAGCACGAGCTTCGTTGAAGAATTTACGACTCCAGTCAAGATATCGAATGCCCTCAATAGGTTCTTCATCTCGCAATCCAACCAATGCCCCGAGCGATAAAAGGCTGTAGTATAATGCCATAAAACTTCTGCTCTGTGAGCCAGGATCAGACCAGAGATCCTCGCAACGTCTTATGAAATGAGCTTGGTCAAGAATAGGATGTATGTAGTGGATCGATCCGAAGAAGGCATTAAGAAATGTTCGACATTGATGAAGGTATGAGACAGAATTAGTAGGAAACATCTCCAAGCGACTTGCGCGCTCAGACGGTGATGGAAAGAAGGCTGGGTTGTGAAGCTGGGAGACAAGAGATCCTTCGTCGTCATTTCCCTCCTCGTGAGAGACACCGCAAGGATTGTTCATCTGAACGCGGCAAAGGAGGGCCATGGAAGAAGAACCACCATAGAACTCGACATTTTTCGTATGGCGATTAACCCCTGATACCTCTGTTGATGTATGCGTTGTGTCCTGTGAGGGTGAAGTTGCTGTATTACCGACCTGAGTATTCTGATCGACGCCTTGTGGAGTCATCGGTTCATCTGCGGGCGATGTTGTTACTAGGGGAGATCCTCCTTGAAAGGATAGGAGCAGGTTATCACGAAAAAATCCTAGCCTATCTATTCCTACTTTACTCGCAGATGTTTCAGGCGACGACAAAATCTTGACCTGTCTTTCTAGTTGTTTGACATACCTGTCAATGAAATGTGAGCCCGTATATCTATTACCGAAGACCTCCTTTTGGAAAGAGAACGTACTCGGTGGAATAAACGATCCTGCGAGACTTGTCTGAATTCCTATATATGCATTCGGTATTGCGGTCTGCGGTATATCAAAGATCCATGTCAATGAATATGGTCTGTAACAATTCATAAGTGACTGACTGACTTCTGCAATACGTGCACGGGACCAGCTCGTCACACTTATTCTTCTTCAGTCGACACAGCTCGCAAGCGCGAGCCGCGCGAGATCGGCGCACCCTACTCGTAGCTGATCCATCCTCTCGAGCTGGCTCCATGGCTTGGTGGGGTTAGAGATGGCGTTAATTAACTGGATTCTGTATCAGTTCCTTTCTTGAATGATGAACTCAACAGACTGGTGAAGGCAACGGAGCCACGAAAAGCGGCTGCCGTATGTTGTGGTGGAAGCGGGGAAGGCTAGTAATTACCGCATATCATATCCTACTCTCGCGTACACAGGGTCCGCGCCCTTTCCCCTACCCGACCCCTCACATTAACGCAAACAAGCCGCGATAAAAGAAGATGGCCAGAAGTTTGTTCATGGCGATGCGTGTAATGCCCTGTCCCTGCAAAGACCCAAATGATCCATTGGTACAGTATGACAATCGGCTTGGATTTCTAAGATCGGCCACAAGAAGTCCTTCAATTTTACCCAGTGCCCCAAAAGTCATCTCCATGCGGTAGCAAAAGTACAGTACGCCCCAACTCTTGGGTGGGTTGAAATGTCAAAACCCACCCCATGGGGCTCCATGCTGCACCCTACCTGGCGATTTGGGACTTTTATTGATAAGAGGATTTGTTTGAGCATTGCTTACATTTTTAATCAGCGGTAAACTTATCGACATTAGAGCTATCTGTTTGACAAAACAAAACAATGGAAAGAGGGAGCCTGAACTTAGACTTCCAGCCATCGTAATCCCCGCTGTTATTAGACTTATTGATGTTTTGATATTCGGACTCTGAATTGTCCACATGACCCCCTGGATAGGCGCCCCAGTCGGCTACTGTATTCAATACAGGGATTTGGCCTGGCTGCTGTGGCGAATGTTGCCATTGCCTACGCTGTCGATAGTTATCAAACCCGTAAGTTATTACAGTGCGCTGGGGAAGCTCTCGTTATGGTTTTCGTCATTCGAAACGCCATTGGAGCTATTCTTGTATATAATTACAGTCGATTAGCAAGAAGCTAGCGGTGTACAAAATGTGTAATTGCTGTTCGCCATGAGGACAATACTTGTTCTAACTGTGTGTAGTCGTTTAGGAAAATGGTGGCTATCCAATACCTTTTTCTTGTAACGACGGTACCTCTAATAATATACGGAAAGCAAATCCGGAATTGGACGTCGCAATACGGGCTCATGGAATAGTTTGCAGCACCTGGCTGAGGCAATTATGTGATGGGTTTTACGGCTGTTAGTGATAAACTGGCACTGGTTTTTATACTTGCTGCCTGCCCTCAGTGTAGAATTTGATACTAAAGGATACATGATCGCCCTCGTCACAGCTCGAAACGCTTCGTCCATTTAATCACCTCCTCTGCCCATTCTTCCCCACGTTTATCCCCACTCATCAGCGCTATCGGTGGACTGATATGGTTCTGTCCTTTCATCCATTTAACCTCAACCCCGTCTCTACTTCCAAACACCTTCTCCCAATATTCAAGAAACCGCTCGTTTGATTCGAGGATCTCATCCTCCGGATCCAATTCTCCTAACATCACTAATACATCGGGTATGCTCAGATCCTGGGGCTTAGCTAAGCCACAACAATTTACTCCTCTACAGGAGCGTAATAAGCCATTCGGGCAGAAATCGTCATGAGATGTTTCCTTCCGCGTGTCGGATAAACTAGGGGGCCAGTATGCCCGTAGTACATCGAATCGAGTGGGCTGTGCCGTCTTGAAGTCAAGCGGAACGCTTACCAACACAGCTCCCCGTAATGAGAATGCTCCAGATTCTGCCAAAGCAATCCTTCTCTGTTTCTCAAATCGTGGATCTAAGAGGTATGTCGAAACATGCACTCCACCAGCTGAATTACCCATGAGAAATAGATCGCGGGGTTTTGAGGCTTGATCAGATAATAGATGAGATGACTCGAGCCAGTCAACGACTGCTCCTACGTCTTCTCCTCCAGATGGGAACACAGCGCCGTCACCTGTGCCGATAGTTGCATCATTAACTCGTCGGTAGTCGGCGACGATAGCCGTAAATCCTCTCTGAGCAAAGAATGTCCCCAAATTGTGATACACAAGCCCTGATGGGAAGAAAGGGAGGATTCTGTCGCCTCTATTGAGTCCGCCGCCGTAGAAAAACACTATTAGAGGAGAATAAGGTGAAGACGTGGGCTCCGAGTATAAGTCAAGTGTTTGCCGTTCGTGTGGTCCATATGAATAGGTTGTGCGAGGTACTGAGAGAATCTGGACGTCATTTGCTTCAAGAAGGGGTTTGAAAGCCTCCAACGTTGGCAGTAAGATAGACGCAATGTCCTTGCTAGGAAACTGTGCTATTGCTTCCATGCTTATTGTAATGGTAAACCAGGTGTTTCAATTTCTCCAGCCACTGAATATACAATGGAAGTGTGCGGTGCTTTAAATTTTAATTGAGACACTATGTCGTATGGATATCGTTGCATACCCCAGCAGAAGGTAGGCGGCAGTTGCTCGAGTCCCACAGTTACAGTATAGTACTATAGCCCAACTATTGCTGGAATTTGCTGGAATTGCCGAGAATGAAGCCGGAGTGCGTTCCGTTTTTTATTCCGGAGAACTAAAAGTCCGGATATGCCGCGGTGTGGGGTATCGCGGGTGCTGTAAGAAACATCACCGTGGACGGCCACTATTGTGTTCGCCATCAGTAAGATGAGCTATTTCAACATCTATCAGTCTTGTCTGGAATACTGTAAAGGATTGAAGAGGATCAAGGTTGCCAATTCTAGAGGCCCTAATTGCTTAATTATTTCCAAACTAAACTACAGTGAATCATGTCTAGATCGATTCCGACACTGAGCGCACCTCCTGGGAAGTCATCAGCCCCCTACAAACTTCCTTGCTTCACTGGTGAATTATGGACAATCCCGACTTCGAAGAGTACAATGCGCCTTCTTGTCACGGGGAATGAGACCAACAACGCATTTGCTGTCATTGGAACTGGCGGGACCTTTGACAGCCCTATTGGTTTCCATTATCACAGAGAGGCGCACGACGTGTTTCTGTGCATCAAAGGGTCGCTCAACGTTTGGGCGAATGATGTGGCAAGAACTTTAGGGCCTGGAGACTTTGCGAGTGTGCCACCTGTAAGTCGCTCTTCTCCTGTTGTTTGTCTTAATCATAGGAAACTATCGTTCGGAGCGGAACCCTACTGATCCATAACAGGCGACAGTTCATCAGTACCAAATTGCGTCTTCCCATACAGAATTTGTTGGCCTCGTTATCCCAGGAGGCTGGGAAGCCGTACGTTACCTTCATATCTTTCTCCTATTCATCTCCTTTCAGCTCCTTTCCTACTAACTACTCACCACATGCCTCGTTTCTCTTAAACCCGTAGTTCACATCACTTACTCCCGTCCTCCAGTTTTTCCGCTTCGTGGGGGAGCCATTTGATGGACCTCTGTTCCCAACGCATGATGAGCGCTCCCCGTATGAGGTCCTCATCCCTAAACTTATAGCCGCGGCAGAAAATTTCGACATGATACCAGTACGCGACAAACAGTCCTTTGGTCCGCAACCTTGGGATGGAACAGAATCAACTCTTCCCGGTGTATGTGAGAATGGAGGATATTTTCTGAAGGCAGATTCAGGACCAAAATTTATAGCTGGTGGAACAATTGTTCGACCTCTAGCAACACGGAAAGAGTCAGGGGGCAAGTTTTCTGTATACTGCATAGATTCATCCAAGCTGCACCACGGGAAGGGACTGGAAGGCGAGATGTTTACGTTTGAGAAGACGCACCACGTAATTCAAGTCTTGGAGGGTTTGGTGAGAGTTGTCATTGACGGAGATGATGCTGTTGTGGGAAGTATGGAAACAATTTTCGTGCCAGCTACAAAGTCGTGGAGGTGTGAAGCAGAGAGTGTTTACGCAAAGTACTACATCTTTGCAAACGGGGGCGGAATAGGAGAAGTTTTGACAACTGTTGGTCGCTCATTCGAATGGTCTGTTGTGCCAGAAGCTGCAGATGTGGCTACGTGGGATTATAAGGCTCTTAAAGACTCCGAATTGGAATTGGGGTTTGTGATTGCCTAGAAAGGAGACATATACTAGTTATCGGCGGCCCTCTCTGGCTCTGCTTAAGAAACCTTTTTTTTTGCATTACCAATGACTCTGGTGCCATAACACTGAGTTATCAAATCGTGTCTTCGTCTTGTCTTCCAACCTCCTTGAAGTCTCCAGTGTGATATATCACTTCTGGCCGGATAACTTTAATACGCCAGTCCCCTTCAATCTTCACATACGTTTGCTGCATCCAACTCCTCCCGTCCGATGACTCTCCAATCTTACACAAAGGGCTGGCGAAGTCTTCACCTGCGATTCTGCGTCCGTGGCTAGCCAACTGCTGCCACTCAACTACAATCTCGTCGTCTGTCACAGATTTGAAGTACGGCGCCCCAAGAAGATGCTGTGTCGCAAGAGCTCTCACTCCTAAATGCGTCGGTCCTAGCCATTCTGTTACGAAGTCGTCGGCGCTAAACTTCATCAGACCCCAAGATGGCACAACTCCTGTGTAGTCGACGATTACATTGGGTGCTAGAGAGGCGCGCATTCTCGCCTTGTCCTAAAATCCAGATATTAAAAATGCAAATAAAGCAGAGGGGGCTTATCAAGCTTACTTTTCTGTCATAGCCATCTGCTAGTGTTCTTGCGCACTGGGAGATTTTGACATAGTCTTGGAATGTGAGTTTTGATGGCGTGTAGATCCCAAACGCCATGGCTTCTATGGGAAGTATTTATAAGAGCCAAAATGGACGAGAATATCTTCGTGGATTTTAAAAAAAACATAAATGCAAGCTATAAACTGGGGAGGGGAAGCAGTAATAAGTGTAATATTCCTAGGTGTGGGCCCGGACAATTGAACACACGTAAGCGGAGCAGACGCAATGCGGAGTAGCTTAAAGGCATTAAGCACACCTTCTTCAGCGTTCATCCACCATAACCACCGTCTCCTAGTTTCCATTTTCTCAAATTTCCATACTCGTTTAATATTTGGCTACTAAGAGGTCATCGTCGTTTTAATGGCTCCCCCTGGCTCAGAATATACGATACGAACTTCAATCTACCCAGCCATAGAGCCAAATCAGTTTAAGGGGGTTTTCACGGGTAAAGTTGTTCTTGTAACGGGATCCGGAAGGGGGATTGGGCGAGAAATTGCCCTAGCTTTTGCAAAATGCGGAGCAGCAGTCGCCATCACGGGGAGAACAGCGGACGAAGTTGAGCAGACGAGAAAAGATGCAGAGTCTCTGGGGGCCAAAACAATCGGAGTAGTTGCAGACGGTAGCAAGTCGGACGACTTGAAGCGCTTAGTTAATCAGGTATGGTCGCCTTCCTTCCTTTGAAGGTGCTCAACTAATCTCTAGCCTCGAAGGTGACGGAGAGTCTGGGACCTGTGGACATTCTCGTCTGCAACGCAGGCACAAACTGCTTCATGCCATTTCACATGACCGATGCAACAGACTGGTGGTCTCAGATGGAAATCATGGTCAAATCACCCGTAGAACTGACCCGACTTCTTCTCCCCGCCATGCAAAGCAACAACTCCGGAACAATCATCTACACGTCTTCCCGCGCGGCTCAAGCTGACCTTCCCTGGACAACAGCCTACAACTGCGCCAAAACATCCATTACACGCTTTGCTGGGACTCTCCAAACGGAAATGAACATGCTACAGCCTACAGTGTTGGGCCATGCGGACAACGGCATTTCCGTGTTTTCAATCCATCCAGGAGAAGTCAGTACGAGGATTCACGAGACCGGCTTCCCCGAGAAGACTAAGAGAGAGGCGCCGTATGTGATTGACATGATGGATAAGTTGCACGCTGTCAGCCCGGAGTACGCTGTTGAGCTGCCTGCCTGGACTTGTATTTATCTTGCCGCAGGTAAAGGCAAAGGGCTCGAGGGAAGGATGGTGGATTGTACAAGGGATGTGGAGGAAGTCAAAGCGAACGTGCTGGCGACTACGAGCCCTAGGTTTACAAATTCTTGCTCTCCTCTATAATATGAATATCAGCTCTCCTATTGCAAAACTTCTGATACACCATTTGATGAATCAGATTCTTCTGGGAGTCCGATACCCCAGGGCGTGTACCGACGAACCACCCCGTCCCGAAATAACCCCGGGGCCTCCACAGTCAAACCTGCCGTGTTTTACGTTTAAATTGCCGTATCTTTCATGTAGGTCACCATTGGTTCCAAATTCGAACGCTACAGAAAGACATTTACATCCCAATGGGGCACTTTTCGGGATATCCGGACTGTTTGGTGCATTTACAAGGATGTCCGGAACTTCCGACCACCATCGATGTTTCCACGGTGCCAGCTCCAAGGCCCACGAGAATTATGCCCAGAAATCCCCAGAAATCAAAATGGGACCCGGACGCGGGGTAGCTCACAAAGAAGAGTCTCTGTGGGGTAGTGCAGCTAAAAATCGATGTGCTTGATGGAAATGAAACATCAGGCAGCTGCCGTCCACTATTATGTACATGACTGCTGTGCCGTTATTGGCATGGGACATCTTTAATAACAACCAGACAAGTGTACTCGAATATATTTATTTACTTTTGCGCTCATGCTCTGCGGGTTTCTTCCCTCTAATCTACATTATCCCGCTTGGCTAACAAAGAAACTAGATAACTTAAAATACTGGACCCTCTTTCCCAACATGGCGCGCAGTGTGGAAGAAAAACCCGAAATATATCATTGTGAATCTCTCGAGGAACAAAACAGCCCCAACACTCGAGGTATATCTGCATTGGCAGCCAGTGAAGATGAGCCACAGACGCCGTACCAGCTTGGTTGGCGGACTACAGTTGCGCTGCTTGCCCTCTCAATGGCGAACGTCTGCGCTGCTCTTTCAAATACTGTCCGTCAGACACTTTTCTCGGGTTAGAGACAATCTAATGATTATTTAGACAAATACCACTATCAAGTTCCAGGTCGCCGCACTTGCTAGGTCACCGGCGGACGCGAGCAAGGCATCTTGGATTGCGAATGGGAATTTTTTGATTGTCCTTGCCATGGGCCCAATATTTGTTCGTTTTCCCCTGACTCAGTCCATTTACATCCACTAAGGTCACCAAGGGATCCCTCAGCGATCGTCTCGGCAAAAAATGGTTTGTCGTTGGCGGTCCATTGATGGGGATTATAGGATCCATGGTCTCGGGGTCAGCCAAATCCGTATACCAGATTATTGGTGGCAATATCCTAACTGGATTTGCCAATGCGGGCTGTGTATGCCTCCTTCCGTGCGCTTCACCTTGAGGATAGTTAACTTATTTTCCAAGATTGTTTCGATATCTTGCATCCAAGAAATCATGCCCAACGCGCTCCGCCCATGGGCAATGGGTGTCAGCCAATTTATGGCGAGCGCGTTCGTCGTCCTGGGCACCTTCATCGCCGCCGCTTTTGTGCGAGATAATACCGGCGGTGCAGGTGGTTGGCGCTGGGCCTATTACTTCAATGGCATCATCTACGGGCTCACAGCTGTCTCGATTAGTATTGCGTATTTCCCACCCAAACCACGTCTAGGGCGTCGGAACCAGCTAGGTTCGATTTTCAGAGGCATAGACTACCTTGGGATCCTAATCATGTCGGCATCCTTCACTTCCCTCATTATCGGCCTCACATGGGGTGGTAACACCTACTCTTGGAATTCGAAGCAGGTCACAGCAACACTCTGTTGCGGTTGCATCGGTCTTGTGATCTTCGGTCTGTACGAAGCTTTCGTCGTTAAAGAAGGCATCCTCGACCACCGTCTCTTTCAAACACTCAATTTTCCCATCCTCCTATTTGTATGCACTATCGACGGCATGCTCCTCCTAGGAGTGAACGTTCTTTACTCCCAACAAATCTTCGATCTTTTTTCCCAAGATGCAGTCCGCATCGCTGTCATCCTCTCGCCATACCTCATCACCTCAACGTTTGGTTGTATCCCTGCCGGCTGGATTATGGCATCCACCAAGTCTTATCGCGAGATGCTGGTTATGGCATTACTTTGGTGTAGCTTGTTTACTGGGTTGATGGGAACAGTCAATGCGAATAGGTTGAGCTGGACGTATGCATTCTCAGCGCTGTTTGGGATCGGCACTGCAGTTACGACGACTATTCCAGGTATAGTCCCCATCTTCTGTCAACGTTATGAGTAATAACAAATAGCAAGTCGTCGCACTGGGCCTCTCTGTCCCTTCCTACCTCATAGGGACCGCGGCCACCATCTCAATCTCCTGTCGAGCGCTTGGTGGCAACATTGGCATTACTATCTTCACGGCAATATACTCAAACAAGTATGCCTCATATGTGGGCGCTAAAGCCGCTAGTGCAACTGAGCAAGGTCTTGCGCCCGTCGATGTCAACCAAAGTGCGCGGGCATGGAAATATGTGTGGCTGGCGATTGCCGTGCTAGTGGCTGCAAATGGCGTTGCAGCATGCTTCCTAAAGAGCGTGGCGCCAATGATGAATAGCCACATCGAAAGTGCATTAGAAGGTGGGAAAGTGAGGGAAGCACAGCTGCAGGCTATTGACATAACGGGCGATACGTAGTCAAATCTGGGTTTCTCAAATTTTGGATTGTTTCGTTTGACGAGCCACTCAACAAACTATATAGTGCACCTATTCCGTGGTAGTATATATCTCTTATTTTGAATTGTTCAGGCCGCATGTTCGCGATCCGCAATAGTACCTGCTTTACCACCCCGTCTTCAACCGTTGTAGAATTCTAAACCTTCATCTAGACGCTCTAATGCTCTTCAAATGCTCCGCTTCACTTCTGACTATAAGCAGCTCTACAGGGTGGGAATGCCCGGTTTGGGGATGTTTCTCGTGAAGAGTCGTTCTCTATGCCGTAATCCATTGTAGTTGTTGTAGCTTTCTTCCTCGCGCTTGGTATCTATTATGTTTTTAGATATTGTGTGAAACTCCCCGCGGCCTTTGAGGCTATCGTTTAGGGAAGCTAGGGCGGGCAGAATTATTAAGCAAAAATCATTCAAAGTGGAATAAGTAGAGACAAGAGTGCAACTGTCTGAAAAGGTAGACTAGTATTGTTTATATTCAGTACAAAATAAAGAAATATAATTCGAAGTAGTAACAAAAGAAAAGTAAAAGTAAAAAACATATAATAGTAAGTATTCGCTAGTAGTTACTTACCTAACTATTAATCTACTAATCTGAAGCTATTTTTAATTTAATAGTTCGATTAATGCTATTTAGCTTAATAAATAAATTTCGCTACTTTTACTTTTGATTTTATAATAACGATTATCTCGATATCTAAAATATAAGTTTTATATTTACGTTTTCGTAAAGTATTATTTTAATTAAATTAATAAATCTTTTGAGAAAATAGGAGTATAGGTCATATAACCGGAGATACGTTATTCTAGGCCTATATAAATATAAGGAAGAAGTTCTCTCGGAGTTCCTTCTTTTCTTAGTTCAGTTAATCTAATTACTTTCTACTTCTACACCTACTTCCCGCTACCTGTTACTCCTTCTATCTATAACTAGTTATACTATATCTATAGTCTTTAGTTTTAATAGGTTATAAGCCCAGGTTCTACCTAAGTTCAAGTAGAAAAAGTTGAACTCAAGGACTGTATAAAGGTCCACGAACTACGTCGCGTCAAGAGTTCATCTATCTACGATTCGTACAAGGAATCGAACTACTAGCTATAGGATGATCCACGAGGGACACAGCTATAGGAGCCTGTCTACGATTCGAATAGAGTCGGCTACGATATTTTGGAGGCTGTCGCCTTCTAGAACTAAGACATCGGCTGTCGCCCTGGCAGTCAAGGTCTCCTTGGGGCAAGAGAGATTCTCCTTAGAGACACAGGTCCTAAAATACCGGAAGTAGTCGCTTTTGTAAAAGACGAGCAAAGTTAGAAAGACACCGGACTATCGTCCAGAGCACTGTGAGCTTCTCGAAGACTCTTAGGCAAGTAAAGCCCTATTCTAGCGAGCAAAGCCGAAGAGAGTATAAGATATAGTTCTATATTTATCTCAAACGATCTTTTCGACAATAATTCGAATACTTACTAACTAATAGTACTCTCGACTCTTTTTCAAAATTAGTAGTTATAATTCAACAACTACTAGCTCTTATTATACTAGTATAACAAAGGCACTTTCAATTCTACTTAAACTACCTATTTTTCGATAGTAGTTTAAGTTCTTTACTTTTTCGAAATCTTCCTACTTTCTTTAACCTAATTTCCCTACGAACTCTCTTCTTTCCAAAGATTTTGTCCTATAAACGTAAAGAAGTAAAAGCTTATATAACGATAGAGGAGAGTAAAGGTCTAGAGCCCTGGAAGAGTTTATAGACAGGGAGGCGGGAGCGGAAGAACGTAGCAAGGACAACAAGACTCTAGAGGAGTTTATACAGTAGGAGGAACGATATATTAAGGGAGTATAATACTCTAGAGTAGCAGAGAGCGTGCACAGCTAGAGTACTGGAGAGTACTAAGCTGGGGGAGTGCAGGGGCAACTAGACTACAATATACTAGAGTTGAGGAGAACTAATATACAGGAAGTGATTAGTTCTACTTCAATTTTCAATGCGACTTTTCGACTCCTAGACTTTCCAACCAACCTGCTAGTACCGAATCTACTAACTCTTGAGTTATTGTCAAGCTACTCGTCTATGTTAATAATTTAGCTACTACTACGAAGTCCCGAAACGCGCTTTATACGTTCTTCTAACAACTGTCAGGGAGATTCAATTCCAAAAATCTAGAGGAGATCGGAAAAATCCTCGGAGCAAGAATCACCTATGACAGAAAGAACTAGACGCCCGATATCGACTAATAGAACTACCTCATCAGCACCCTCGACAAGTTCGGGAAGAGTAATAAGAAGTATCACGCCAAGATGATCCCCGCCGCCGATGACGAATCCCTTAGACCTACAGACGTCAGCGACAAACCAATCAATATAACCAAATATCAGTAAGTTATCGGAAGCCTCTTATTCGCTATAGCCTTCACAAGGCCCGATATTACATTCGTTCTTGGAAAGCTGAGCTAGTTTATAAGTAACCCCGTTAAGTATCACGGATATACACTAAAGAACCTAATACAGTGCTTTAAGTCGACAATCAATTAGAGACTACAGTATTATCCAAGGAGAGCTTACAAGTATCTAGCCATCTACTCAGACACAGACTACGCAAGCGACAAGTCCGACCGGAAAAGTATCTCGGGGGGAGTCGCCGTGTTCTATAGTAGCCTAATTTCCTATTCAAGCAAGAAGCAGAAGTCGGTTACTACGTCAAGCTGCGAATCGGAGTATATAGCTCTATCGGAATATACGAAGCAAGGCTAATAAGTAGCTCAAGTCTTTCGGGAAACTATGCCAAATTCATCGGAAAGGACTCCACACTTGTTTAGATACTTAGAGATAACTAAGGCGCGATCGCGGGATTTAGCTGAGAGGGGACAAGTACCCAGTTAAACATATACAGACTACCATCATCCCCGCACTATAAAGAACAGAGCTTAGTTCGGCTAGCACTGGAGGTGCAGAAGTTGGTTCCGGAGTCCAATATAAACTCTAGGCTGGTGGTGGCGAATGATGCAAATGTCCATAATATGTTTGGCTCATCATCTTGGAGCCCATGCCCTGCGATTTAGACGACGTATACGGAGCCAGAATAAACTGTGCACGCCAAAACGCCTAGATGGAGAGGATGATAACGGACTGGCTTGATAGTACCCCCCTTCGACAATGCGGCGGAAATTTTTGACGCCGTAAAACGGGGACGTGAACCCCCAGTGGTGGAAGTCTGAATAGAGCTGTCTATTGAGCCTCTATCTAGAACAGTTTTGACACAAATTATCTCAAGAATGGGCTATAGGGTACATCTTCGTCGTCGTCGCCGTTGCGTGCAAGCGACTGATTGACTGCGAGCCGCCATAATTCGTATAGCCCAAATCTAAAATCTAACTCCCATATTGAACCGCAGGTCTTCAAGGAGAGCCTGAAATATGCCAATAGCGACCCCCCAGATCTTGTTTATTCCCCTACGTAAGCTAGACATCTTCCGCCCAACTTGACTTCTTAACAAACAGCTAATTGCTCTGTTCTTCCAGGTCACTTTCATGTTGTCGAGCCTGTCTGTTCAGAAGAGTTTCGGTAATAGAACCCATTGGATGCGTTCGGACCCTTCCGAGTTGGCTTCCAACGCTCACGTTCGTACAGCTCAAATTGAGCCAATGCTCGTAGACGCTCTAGATTTTGACTCTCAACCACATTTAACTCTCTGCTTCTAGAGCTCTTAATTGCAAGCATGAGCAGCGCATGTAGGGTAAACGTTGCATCATTCCCAGCATTATGCAGATCCCATTTTTCATGTGGGATCATAAGTTCTTCTAAAAGAGCCCAGAGCGCGAACCCCGTCATGAATGTAGTAGAGTTGGAGTTTGTATGGGGGCCAAGGAGGTTCCAGGTTATCCTATACGTGTCCAGTATTGCCACCACAGGCGCAATCTCGTGGACAACAATCCCATGTCTTTTCAGCGTCTTTAGATCCTCTTTGATTGAGTGGCCGACAATAACTATATTTCGCAGAGTGCGACTGTTGGGAGAGCTGCTATCCTCAATGCGCAAGCACTTTTTAATGATTTTATGCAGGTTGCCCTGTTTCGCAAGGTGCGTCTCTGCGAACACGCATTCTTTGAAGTCTGTGGCATCGCAATATATGAAATCTTTCGAGGCGTGACATGTTGAAACCTGTTTGGTCGATATAGAGCTGTTGGGAAGCGATCGCGATGTAGGTTTGAGGTGTCGAGTATCGAAAGTTGCAATCCCAAATTCTCTAATAGGAGGGCTGCCGGGTTTGCCTTTGTCGTATTTTGATACTTCGAGATCGATAGATACGAGAACGACGTCCGAAATGGGGTCAAAGCCTTTCGAATCTCGAAGCTCAAGTAATTGCTCAGCGAACTCTAATCCTCCATTGGGGGCAATACCCCACTCGAGATCTTTCTCGCGTTTCTTCTGTTTGCGAGACGCCATCAAATATCTAGGTAGGTTTCTAATGAGCAAGCGATATTAATGCGACGGGTTTTTACAAATGTGATCTAATCACGGGGCCTAACGGTGTTGGGATGATGAGATTCTAAAGATAAGGGAGTATAAGTACCGTAGGCAGGTACATGTAAGGTAGGTAAGGTATACACACCCATTGGTATAGGGAGTGCAGGACGGATACAACAAGGTGGATTGATTAATTAGGTAGGTCACTATAGTGTCATTATTCATGCATGGGTCCTAGCCTTACGAAGATCTCGTATAAAGGCCACGTTAGTGCCAAGCCGGACACCACAACGGCTAGCCCTATGCCGATATACCTACCTACCTTATTACTTCGTAGGGTTCTCAGCGATTGTGGGCTACCGTACTGTACAGTAGGTCAACCTCAGATAACCAGCTGATAAGGAACCTGCGGTACTTTGCAAGTAACAAATTCTGCAATTGGTTTTAAACTTCTCTACTCTAGTAATTTTCGGTTACGACATACATCTGCCTTGTTGCACCCCACCTCCCATTCCGCGAAATCCCTGGGATATAGTCGTTGGTGTGGAGGTGTTGGTGCAAGTGTAATCGCTGCAATGGGCGTCAGGGACTCAGGGAAGGTGGTAAAGCCTAGTAACTGTTATATGACCCTGGGTATTTTCTCTTGAAAGGAGTTCGGTTTGTGAGAATCTGAGTTGCAAAATTTGCTTTGGCTATTTCTCCTTAGTTTAAGTTAAAACCAAACTACCTAGGTAACTTGTAACCTAGAGCGAAGCCATTGGGGAAGTTGATGGAGAAGATTAATTACGAAGTAATAAGCAAATAATAGTAGCCGAGGCAACCCCTATTCGAGGTTGACTATGCCCCGGGATCCTGACAAAGCTGAACCAGCTGCCGATTTTCGCGTAAGCTTAAAGATGGAGGACGACACTTACATCTCTCACATCCTATGTAGAAAACGTCACCGCTAACCAAGGCTTCACTACCCATTGGAATGCGAACGGCGTATACACTCTTCATGTCAACTATACTGCCTTCTGGGTCGCCCTCCAGTCTCTTGGTCAAGTCATTGGCATGGTCCTCTACAATCCTAATTCCTATATCCGACAGGATTGGCCGAAGGATGACTGTGTACCTGTTTCGGGCTATCTTGCAGGTGCGAGTACTATGCAATAAACTTCTAATGACTATTAACCTACGTCCCTTTCATAATTCCCAGACAAATTGCATTTTTATACCTCAGCCATATATACCATGACGCTGGCTTCTATGGTTCCCAGTCAAGCTATAACCTCACTCATTGGCCGGTTTCCAAACGATCAATTTGATTCTTAATTTGAACCAATCTAAGTAAATCTAGCCAGACACAAAGGAAACCACCTAACCAATTAATAACATGTGTTCTACGTTCTAGCTAGATAACGCTATTGTCACTACATGTATTATTATAGTAATGATGCATGTACATCATTCATTCGGCATTCAGGCAAGTCATACGAATTTATGGTGCTGATAAGTTATAGGGACGGGCTAACATTAGTTGTTTTTAATAGGGAGTAATAAATGTGTCAAGTCTATAGGCAGCAGATATATGCCTATAGATCCGGATCCGCCAATGCCATTGTATATTATTAATGTACGTTAGCCTATGTGTTGAGGTTACGGGACGAAGAATGGAGGGATTAAGGTGATTGATTGGTTTCTAATCTTGTAATGAGTGAAACACCTATATATATATAGGCCACTATAGAATAAATCAGATAGATGGAATCAATAGAATTACCCGATATCCGTATCCTCGAAGTAGTGTATGACCCAATTATTTATCTAACGCCAGTACTAATTACTAGCAAAGCAGGTGTTTAGACTAGTTGAAACTTTTATATCATACATTTTGATTATTACGCTAGATCATAATAATTGGGAGGTTTAGCAGGAGGCCTAAACCTCAACCCTAAACACTATGCCACTTTTTCCTACCAGTTGTCCACGTCCGTCCAAGTTCGATATTGGATCATAGGGGTTGTTTTAATCCAGTCTGAGTGTCCATCGCGGTTGTCACTACTATGACAACGATGTTGCTAAGTATCCTCTAGCATGTATGTTCAAAATAGGCAATCGTGCAAGCGGCTCCTAATTCGGTTTTTGGCCAGTAGTCGGCCCCTTTATATAGCCAACCATTCACAACCAAATATTGGAACCAGTAACAGTAAGTTCGTAAGCATACGTCAAGTCTTGACCAGGTTTAATCGTGTAAAATATATTCATAAGCACTTGTTGCCGTGCTCTCTTCTTTCATCAATTGTATACAATTTATCATCCCTGTCGACTCAAATTGATTCATCATTACACAATGGCCACATGCATGTCCAATTCTACAACCTTGAATGACTTAGAATCGCAACAAGCGACCATCAGCGAGAAAACTCGGTGCACGTCTACACATACCAAATCAAATGTACCTACAGCTACAGCCAGGAATGAGAGAGTGGATCTTTACAAGGGTGCTGTGTCCTACACAGCTCTTTGTGCAAGGTATATCCAGATACTCTTCCAATCTCTCGACATTATCGCTGAAACATTCCACCAAGCACCAAATCAACTTGCCAAAATGAGCTATGGGTAGCAGGATACAGTCTAACGGTGGGGATATGATATCCCGGATATCAATCCTGATGGAAGGCGAGCTGGGCAATATATACGGCTCCAGAAACACCTTCATCCTTGATTAAATATAGCTTGGACTATGGTCCATGCATGGTTAGTGGATGGGGTGCTCTCATAAAATCCGCCATCTTCTTCGATGTAGTTCGCGCAATTTAAGACATCGGTACAGCATATGCACTACCAATGAATTGGCGATTACCTGTCGCACTTATTGGTCAGGCCACAGAGGCGACGTGGTCTTTTTACCCTTTGCTATGGGCTATAGCAGCTCTATGTTGTTATGAACGACTTACTATCATTAACCCAGTATATCTAATAGTCTTTAGGGGCAATGCGGACTTACGAGTCGACTGATCACCGTCACTAATTGCGTAATCCTACATGATACTGCTAGGAAGAACGTAAAACCTCTCCCGCATTTGACTGGCTAGGTTCCGACTTCTATGCACGGCGTCTCCGAACTTCTATTGCTCATTTAGAGCCATTCTTAGTTTTATCTTCTCATTTCATGTAGTACAACAGAAGAGTGCTTAGGCTGTGGGTATATCTCCCTTTGATACAAATGTTGCAGTCATTCAGACGGCTACAGAACTAGGGTATAGCAGTTTTGGAATTTAGTTCTACTACCTATTCCAACTCATTCAGAGCTTTCAACACACCTCGCCACTTGGATCTGCAGCATAGTTTATTCCAGGAACTATCCTGGTAGCCATAGCTACTCCTTGATTAATGGCAAATAGCCCGAGTAGTTGTCTCATAGTCATCGTGAATTTTACCATATTGTTGGCTGTACACCACAGAGCATAGCGGCCGTGGCATGAAAGTTACTGCCAACTTACTGGACCAATTCGTTTTGGTCGTTTGTCATCATGGCCTAGTGGTGGGTGGATTCCATGGCTGGAGTTTCTTGTAGTACTAACTTGATTGTGAAATTCTACCTAGTAAAATTTATATATAACTTGTTAAAACCTTGATGTTAACATAATTATTCAATTGCTTCAAATTATTCATAAATATAGTCTCAGATAGAAGTAATAATTTAGGTTAACTATCTCAAATAACTAATATAAGCTAATCTAATTTAATAGGATTAGAGTAAAAGTTATAGACAAAATGTTGAGTAGTGTATAAGCAAGCGGAGTTGCTCTACCTGTCTCACTTAATTTATCGCTCTTATTAAAAACCTACTAGAAAACGCAAAGTGCTATAAGCCTATAGAGGTGCCTTGCGGGGTTGATGATAAATATAGATTGGGGATACCGTATTGATTACCGTATAATCCCCAACCCCCCTTCGCTACTACAAGAGTAGCACGACCCCTATTATAATACAACGGCCCAATGTAATTAATAAACGTGCCTGCAAGGTTAGTAACGCAGGAAAATATATGGTCTACATTCATATTTTTATAAAGTTAATGGAGAGGCACGATGCTCTGATATCGCCGTATCGGCATGTTGGGCTTCGTAGAACTAGCCCCTTAATTACTACTACTCGGGAGCAAATATTGGCAAACTGTCGCATACGAGCCTACCTGCCTTGGCGACGTCTAATAGCAGAGAAAATTGGAATCAAGGTAGATAGAGTTACTAAGAATACCTCCAATTACTTTCCAGTTAATACAATAGCGTCAATAATGGGAGTCATAGGACGAGAAATAGAGGTACACGCGTGTTGACTGCTACCTTTGGGCTTCTCCTCGAATAGAGAGTGGCGGAATTCCAATCTGGTAATAGAGCGGCTCTAGTAGACATGCCATTCTGCAGCGCAACGTGGCTTAGATATATTAGTGCTACCAATGTCACACCCTAAATGTGATCATCTGCACATCCATATCGTACCTTGACTACCCCGCAGGACCATGATCTTAGCAGGGTTGTAACGAAAAGAATTCCAACAGCCAGGTGCTAACTCTATGCAGTGACGTCAACTTTTTAAAGAGGCGGGAGTTGGGGTTTTGAGATAGAGATAGGTGGCGCCTCTTCCATCCTTGGAATAACTGGGTCCGAGGGAGGTGAGTAGAGCCAGGGGGATGACGAGGGATCTGCTTGGTATTTGTCAGTGCCAGTTCTGGCTGTTCGCATAAAACAAACCGATAGGCCCGATACTACCTACTTGGTAGGGTTAATGTTTCTAGAATTCAGTTTAAGGCCTATAAATAGTTTATAGGCTAATCAAGAGAAGCCATAGTAGACATGACTGAGCAACTTTTCACCTTCGTTATACTGTTCGAGAAGTATACTAAGTTGCGTGCCACGTTAGATGTCGTGCTAAAGTGGGTTAATCTATACATTGGCCCTTTGTACCATCCGTTAGTTCTTAAAGGCAGAATTCACGATATCTTAGGGTCGTTTTGGTGCTGGCCAGACCCCCGGATGTCGGCCGGCTATTTATTCTCACATTAATATACTCCAAATTAGAGACGGCTGAATGGGTTATTTATCACGTACTATACAACCGGCCTTCCGCTTCCCGAAAAGATCGTTCCGCGACGGAGGGTTGTCCTATTTCTAATAGATCACGACGACAAAACGTGGCTGGTTCGTCCGCAATCAATGATTCTACTGCTTGCTCGTCGCCCACGTACCCTCCTTTCGACCTGATATGGACTGGATAATGAGCCCCTTAGGGTATATTTAGTTAGTAGGGGTCTACACATGACCTGCACATTGCCACTTGGCAGGTCCAGCTGCACTAATAAGTGGTTATCTTGCCGCTCCAACCTGAGTCCTGACAAGTGCCACCAATTCTTTCCCCAACTACAAACTGTGATATCGGCCCTTCTGCTTTGCTGATCTATTATTTTTTCCCACACATATTTCCTCGGTGCCCAATCTCAAGATGCGTTCCAGCTTTGGGCTTATATGCGCCGCCGCTCTGATGGGCATTGGTGCGTGGATGCTCAACTCTCTTTAAAATGAATGCTTTGTTAACCCAACTTCTAGCACCCGGGTGCCAGGCCGCCGACACTGCCTCGTATAAAGATGCCGAGACTGGCTTTACTTTCTCTCAGTATAATGCTCAGTATACAATCGGCCGCTCAATCACCTATCGCATTGCGGTGCCGAGTCCTGTCCCGGCAAACTCAGCCTATGATGTCGTCCTCCAGGTCGTTGCTCCTAATGAAGTCGCCTGGGCTGGCCTGGCCTGGGGCGGCAGCATGATCGCCAACCCCCTAACTGTTGCTTGGTCAAATTCTCCCAACGTCGTCGTCTCCTCCCGCTACGCCACGTAAGATCCCCCTTTAAATTCAATTCAAACCTTCTCAGAGATTGACAACTTGCCCAGCCAGCATGCGGCGCCCTCAGCTTATGCCGATGCCTCGTACGAACTGTTCAAGCCCGGAACGCACGTGAACAGCACTCATTGGCAATATACGGTCAAATGCACCGGTTGCACGTCTTATAATACTGCCACCGGCTCCCGCCGCATCCTCAACCCTTCAGGTGCAAATCGCCTCGCATTCGCATATTCAGGCACCCGGCCCGCCAACCCATCATCGAATGTCTCCAGCATCTCTGTTCATGATGTATACAACTATTGGTCCCACGACTTTTCTATAGCCGGAAATCCTGATTTCTCCTCCCTCATGGTCAGGAACTTAGGGCACGCCTAACCTGGGTTTTTTGGACCGCTGTGAGGGCTGGGGAGCACCATCCGACGAGGAACTAGCTGGGAGGTCCGAGGTTTCGAGAGCGTATTTCTTCTACTCGGTTCTTTATAGGGAGTTAATGCTCCTAAGAGGCTATCTCATTTTTAAGGATGCCCTAGATTCTCAGGCTCGCTGGCTATTTCGTCCTAGGAAGGTGCACGTTATAAGAAAAACACTCATATAATGCTAAACCCCGAGGATGGTTTCGACGAGGGGGTAGGGCAGTGTATATAACTCTCCAGTTAAGGGGATTCCAGTCCCTAATATATTACGATAGATAGCATTCAACCTTCAGGCGTAGAAATTCAAATTGCTTGTAGATACTCATATCTATTGCAACGTTCTAGTATTCGCTTTGACGTAGGATTATCATAGCAACACCTAATTACAAATTCCTTATTCGAATAAAATATATCCCGCGTACGTAGTATTATATTAACTACCGCAGAGGTCGGTTTTAGGTTTACGATACTAGGAGTGCTATCATATTGAATTCTGACGAGGAAGTGGAATAAGATATTATACGTAGCACGCTGTTTATTATTTAGTCGATATACCTTGAATAGTTGTGTATGGTGGTTTTCCAATGTCCTGGCTTACACCAATGGAGAAATCGGATATGTGGAATGTTGATATTTGGTACAATATCCAGTTTCAGAAGGGAGTAATAGGCGGGAAAGAACGGTTTCTCTCCGGTATGCATTTTGCCCCAGTATTAGCACTGTTGACGCTGCTACAATGATTCCCGTTGTTGGGATTATAGGGGCGATAGAGCTGTTAAGGCACGATATGGAAGCATAGATGGGTTTGCTTATAGTGTAAATATCTACAGTACCATTATATTAAGCCACATTGCACGATAGAATGGCTTAGTTACCGGAAGCACTGTATCACTTGGTCATAATCCTACCACTAGTGGATTCGCGATGTCCCTAAACAGCATATCTTTACTCGAGTCTCGAGCACAAAATCTAGACACATGAGCAATAATTACTGGAATTTAAGAGATAAACTAGCTAGCTACATGAATTTGTATAAAATGTTCCAATGAGTCCGAAAATACAAGGTTCAACCAACGAGATGCCAAAGCATAACGAATGTCAAGAAAGCCGACCGAAGAATCCGCCAGCAAGCTCTACTGAGTGGCAGCTGTGAGAATCGTCTGTGTGGCTGGCAATTTCCATTACTTCCAAAGTCCCTTAACGGATCGCTTTCATGGATGAAGGAAGTATTGAATTGGAGGTGATCAGAGGAATTAGGCTTTGATGGCCATCTCGCCCAAGGGCAGAGCTTTCAGCCCTAAAATTATACTTGGTCAGAAATTTTTCATGATCACATGTTGAGTGGCATCATTTCACTTACAGCCGTCAACCTCCTCTGGTGCTTGTTGTGCCTTCGTGCATGCATTGTACTTATCGGCTGACTGGGCATGGAGCCCTGCCGCTGGACAGTCCTTGTTGAGATTGCAATTTTTATCCATAGCCTGCTGGAGAGTGTCACCCTTCCAGCCGAAGACATAGTCGCCATGCGCTGCGGGACCACTGATGAAATAGTAAGCGATGGGAATGGAATGCCTTTGCAATGGACATCTACTTACCCGAGGTTCATGCTATAAACGAATGGGTTGGAGCCATCTGCAGGCCAGATATTCTTGTCCATGAACGTTGAGGTATTCCACATAAGCTCGTACATGATTTGAGGGAGCTTCACAGGGTGAGTAGATGGGCAGGCGCCGCCTCCAGTCGCTCCAGATCCTTGTCCATAAGCAACATGGGTTTGGTGGTTAGGACTGTCGAGGTTCTTGCCATCCCAGCAACTGAAAATTGGTGTAAGTCATTTATACAAGGAAAGGAGAAGGTGTGTACAACATACGCTGGGAAGATAATGGTCTGACGGATCATCTTACACGATGTGGACATGGGGATGTCCACAGTGTCACTGCCGGAGCAAGGCGCACCACCAGTAAACTGGTTATCGTCCGTTGACTGCCAGCATCGATGGCAGATATTGCCCTTAGAAACTTTGCTGGCATCAGTATTTACGGCGTTTCCAGCAAGCATACGGAATCCCTACAACTAGTTAAAATAAGCTTATTAAATGTTCGGTAGAGATGACTTGCCGGCTTGAATGCTGTGACCTTCCCGCTAGGAATATAATAAACATCGAGACCACCCTTGTTTATAAGAGACCCCTGGGGTCCTCCGTTGCCAACTTGGGGAACACGCTTGTAGGTCCCGTTCCGAGCCTTGAAGAACATAACAGCAGTCCAATAATTAGACAAGTCCTCCACAAAGCTACACGATGTGCAGGAGGACATCGCAGGTGGGTCGTGTGTGGCCGGGTCCATAGAAATGTTAAAGGAGTTCCCTCCAACGATCTGATGAAGATGTGGGGTGTATTTCATTCCCGGGTTGACTAGAGGATCGGTACGCTCGACAACTAGTTGTGAACAGGCGAAACGAAGCATGTTTTGGGCGGCGGCATTCTGCGTAAGCAGTGCAACAGCACCGAGGAGGGCCAACTGCATATTGACGAGCGATCTTGGTGCTAACTTCGACCTTGGGGGTATAATCGATAACTGAGACAGCAGAGGAAGGAGGCTCAAGGAATCTAGGAAGACTTATGTCGGAGGATATTTATACATGTTGCAAAGACCCGGCGGCCAACCGCACGACCAACTGCCGAAGCAGCAAAACTTGCTTCTTAATATCTTGTCATTTGGCTTTAATATAAAGGGATATTCCGGGTATTTGCTAGAACCATCCTTTCTCAGGATTGATCGGCCACATGACTGGTCCATATGGCGCGGTTTAGGGAGACTTTGGTGCAAAACGACGTTACCAAGTCGTTCTAGTCGCCAACCCTCGTTTTGCACGATACGATAGGCCCGGGGTCACGTGGCGAGGGGTGATTAGCCGAGCCCCTTACCCCGGGGTCGTTTCGCGGCTTCACCTGTATCGAATGGTACAGTTTCCTCACATTGAACCACCGTAGCCTAATTACGAAGGGTGTGAGGCCTACTAGCCAAGTCGGCGCAATGAGTTGCTTTTGACCAGAAAAGGGACCATTCAAAATTGGGTACGCGTTTGCCGTATCACGTGCCGTCACCAGACGAATTTCAGGCCAAAGCAGCCAAACTCATCCCTCTGTGCTAGTAAGCTAGTGCTATACTATTTTTGTTTGTTACCTCTAAGTTAGAAAGATTTGTTTTCACGGTTACAGCTCTAACTTGTACTACCTAGACTTCCTTTGCTCTATAAACTTAATAGAGGCATATGGCCACGATTATCGGCCTTTCTGTTATCTTGTACTACAGCAGAAAAGAGCGTACGAAATAGAGCGTCAGACCTTAATACGCATTGTTCCTTTCTATGGTTTGGACTGCATATTAGGGCTGTTAAGTGATGCCAAGGTATTTCCTAATTGCCCTTATTTCCGGGCAGATGAAGGAGTGGGAAGGCAGGGATACAATGGACCAGCTGGAGTCTAGAACCTCGACCTTAGCCTACGAAGCCGAGGCGGAAAGTACAAGCTTAATCATAATGTGGTTAAGAATAACCTCACAATTGCCTAGTTTGGCCACTTCTGGAGGGGTTCGAATTATATATTTTCTTAGCCTTGAGGGCTGGGCCGACTTTTAGCGGCATATAATCTAGCCCCTTTTACGCTGTTGCAATCACGCACTCTTTCTATTACTTTTTTAGTTCCAAACCCTAAAAGATTGGCATAATAAAAGAGGAATAGATGATGTATGTTAAGTTAGGCGAGCAACATAATATAATATACAATACCGTCAACACCTACTGTATCCTACATTTTCTTACTATGCACTTCCTCCTATTGCCACCATTGGGAACTTTCCCGCATTCCCCTTTTCACTTACCGCTGGAAGAAAGTTACCTGTTGATACAGAATCGTAGTAATGGCCATATCGTAAGAAGTCCCCAACAAGGGCCTCGCGTTAGTCCCCTCTGAGCCCTCCCACTGCTGAAACTCTTACACAAAACTCAGAGCGTCATCACTCCTAGCTATAGTTCCATTACAACTATACTCCCTCGTTCCAAAGCCTATAAAAAGGAACTTGGGCTCTTCCACCAGAGAGTGCCGCCTACCTCACATGGAAAACCCTTGGGGCTTCAAACCAAACCAATTTAATCACAAACCTTGTAGGTATGCGCAGATGTGCAGAGCACCGACGTTTCATCGCACGCCCTAGGCATTTATAGAGGGCGGGGGTTGTTCGGGTCTATGGAAGGAGATTGTTCGGGTAGTTGGGCACGGGTTGCCCGTCGTCAGACCCGAATATGATGTAGCTCTCGTTTTTACACAGGTGATCGGAATAGCAGTCGCCATTGGAGTGGTAGTAGAAGCAGTGGGCAGTGAGGTTGACCCAAGGGCCGGTGGCTGGGTGTGTCTGCTTGGGAAAGAATACTACAAGCTCATGCTTGCTCCCAGACTCTAGCTTCTCTGCTTCAGCTTCACCAGTCCCGCTCCGTGTTGATATCTCAAGGGCATCATGCTTTGTATTTTCTTCCTCCACCAGATTAGGTTGTAACGAACCACCACACCATTCGTGCCTCGGCCGCCTTACCCTTCCAAAAAGCCCAGCTCGCTGTCCACCAACGGCTGTCTCCCACGGCAAATCGGTGAAGTTAAAACCCTTCCGACTAGATGATGGCTTCGCACAATATACCGAGGGAGGATTTGCCGTCAGTCCTGTCTGGCACGTTGCTGGCCCAAAACCTGAAAGGAAAATACCTGCTTGGTCAAAATATGGAGCCCATTGCTGCTCGTTTGATTTCGGCTGTTCATAGACTTGCGGGACGAACGTGAGCTCAATTTGATATCAGTGCTTAATCAGGGTCCATTGGAAGCCACTCAAGGAAGGAAATTTTCGATGGATGCAAACACATTCTGCATCGCTAGGCATGTGCCTTTTGGCTGTACTCTTTAACAGATACGCATCGCTTTCCCTTGCGAGGCGGAATAGACCTACTCGCGCTGGAAAACCCTGGGCCTGGTAAAATAACACTAGCACACATCAATGGAGAAAGTTAGATGATGAAAGAGAAGTAAAAGCCTATGGTAGACTAGGACATTCGTCGAATTTCCTGCAGAGACCCGCATCCTGCAGCTGTCACCCCAGCTTGTCGATAGAAGCCAGCAAGCTTTGCTACCTCCGTTTCCATAGTTGAGGGATACACCTGCTGACGGCGCGGCTATTCATCATATTAGTTGCTACGGAGTAGAGAGTTTTCGGATATAACTACCAATAAGGCATAGCACCCTATCCGCCTCTTAGAGCTTTCGCCGTTGCAGGGTTGGCAACAAAGCCTTTGGATCCGAACTTCTTATCGGAAAGCTTTAATCTAAACTTCCACGTTTGGCTAGCACTTAGGGCATTCTTATAACAGCGTTAGTAGAGAGAAAAGCAAATAGACAATCCGCACTCAATAGATCCGGGCTTACTTTAAACGTAGTTGACGTGAATGCCTGACGATGACGATGTCTTTAATAGGGCCATACATAGTATAACTAGATATAAACTTCTAACAGATTTGTTTACATTTTACTATTTATGAGAACATCTAATGCAGGAGTCCGAGGCCTATAGATAAAGATAAGCGAACGTTGCAAATCGCCTTATTCTGGGATTAATCTCAAGTTGGATTCGGATCACGGCCAGAGAGAAGTAAAGACTCTACTATAGGGAATCAGCCGATTATTTATGCTCGCTGATTCAAAGTCTACTTTTCAACATAAACTTTGTATATCAAACTCCATCACTACTTCGGTAGAGATAATCCTGCAAAGAAGTCTCCAATAGCCTTATAGTTCTCCATCCCTGTAACCATTGAAATGTCTATTTCTATTAGCACCCAATCTTCCAACGCATTGACATAATCACAAAAGAAGAAAGAGACGAAGCGGAGACTGACATTGATCTGGCCTCACGATCGCCACTGCGCCGTTGCTTGGTGCAATACCATAAAACTCATATGCCCTTCCATGTCCTGAATTATAGCTCTCATCATCAAAATATACTTTATGCAAATCTATCATAGAAGCATCGTCAACTCCGTTCATGTTCTTGTTCGAGAAGAAGTTGCTAACCTCGCATTTTCCACTTCCCAGTCACAGGCCAGAAGCAACCTGGGATGTGTTCCTGCTCGATCCTGAGACGCTGCCCAGAGAGGACCACAATCGGCTCAATAAAGGAGTCAATATCTGTGACGGAGGGCGTGTGAGACTTGACGGGACCAGCTTGGGAGTACAGATAGGCTCCTAACTCTTCAAGTCTGGCGGCAATGGTAGGCTCACTAATATCGCCTGCGAAGATAACAACTCGCCAGCGTCCATCAGCCGGCAAAGCTTTCACCAGCTGCATCGCGTTTGCGTCGCAGAACCTTACCACCTGGGCGCTCGGAAAGCGCATCCCGACTACGAGGTTAGTCGCCAAAGTCTGCGTGCTACCCTTCGCATTCGTGATCTGTGAGTTCCCGTATCTCGCTGTCAAGCCCGCTGTATACCGTCCTGCCTTGATGAAATACTCCTTAAACGCCTCCGTCGATCCATCCTCCTTCGCCGCCGCCTCCGAGCTAAAGACCTTCATGAATTCACGGTCAAAATCAATGAGATCAGCGGCCACTTTTTGACGCTCTAAAACATACGTCTTGAGAAGATCTGGCGACGATCGGCCTTGTAGGACGTGTGCTAGCTTCCAGCCAATATTGTATCCATCTTGTAGACTCGTGTTCATGCCCTGTCCTGCTTTTGGTGAGTGTGTGTGACAGGCATCGCCAGTGAGGAAGACACGGTTGTCCTTGGAGAAGAAATCGGCCTGGCGTTGTCCGATGGCGTAGGCGGACCACCAGAAAGTCTCTGCGATTTCAAGTTGATAGGGATAGAAAATTCGTGATGCCACTGAGTGCAGCTCGGGAAGCTGGACATCCTTGGCCACAGCCCCCTGCGGCAACTCAATGTAAAAGCGTACCATGGAGCCGCCTTCACGAGGGATTATCAAGAGGTTTCCTGATCGAGATTGGAGAGTTGCTTTTTTGCGGATGTCTGGGAAGTTCGTCCGTGGAAAGATGTCCATTACGCCCCAGACAGCATCGCTGCTATCACCAATCATCTTGAAACCAAGAGATCTACGCACAGCGCTGTGTGCCCCATCACAGGCCTGCCCAGATGAGAAAGAATACTGTGCTAGGGCCAGACACTACTTACCAGTGCATATTTAGCCATGAAGGTTTCCTCAACTCCGTCCTTCAGAGCGACCACGGTCACAGGATACGCAGCTGGATCGGCAGCCAACCTGCTGTCAACCTGGACTCCCTTAACATCGTAACCATAATCCACGGTCTGTCCATTAAAACCCTTCATCGCATCTAGTAGCAACCCATTGACCCGTGCCTGGTTCAAGATCACATGTGGCTGATGTGACAGTCCTGGCGCTGTATCTGCTGTCCTGCCGGTCCGGACCAGATTTCCATTGGCATCAGCCCCCCAGAAACCAACTTCTAAAACATGGTAGGCCTCGCGAAGCATTTCTTCGGCGATGCCGAAGCTCTCGAAGACCTCAACGGTGCGACATTGCACGCCGTCAGCTTTCCCAATCTCCAATGGGCCAGGCCGTGATTCGAGGATCTTGCACCGAAGCCCATATCGGGCGAGCCATGTTGCTGCGCAGATCCCAGCGGAGCCGCTCCCACAGATCAGGACGTCCACATGCCGGGCCATGTTTCCTGTGGTGTGAGGAAATTGGTCAACAGATCCAGTAAGCCTGCAGAGTACGGATTGTTTTAACTCTTAACTCTTAAGAGCAGATCCTTCAATATAGTCCCCAAAGATACTCGAGTACTACCTATAAGGTACGTATGGCGTATGGCGCATTACTCGAAGTAGATCTTCAACTATTGCCGAATGCTTCTTCCGTCCCCGCACTTTCTTTCTTTCAACCCCACAACTTCGGCATGTCGGCCGGTGGCGCGGATTTATACCCCTTTAATACCCCTTTTCTTTCCAATGAATTAGAAAATGTAGCCGGACTTCCGAGAAGATCATTTTCAAGTCGATGGCGATGGCGTTCGCTATGTGGAATTGGGCATCGTGAATTCTCCGGTCTCATCCAGATTCCAGATACGTCAAGTCTTCAGCAGTACGAAGTAGCGATGTGCAAGGAACTAGGTTCAACCTACGACAATGCGATGCTGTGATCAGGTGTAAACCGGCAGCGTCGCATAGTCTTGGTGGAACCTAATGAGGACGATGGGGCTCTCTGATCTGGAACACGAGACAAGGCGACCTATAACATGCCTCGCGATTCCCTTTAGGTCTCTTGAAGTTGAAGTTGAACTTGAACATTCAATTTTTACCCAAATTTGGTCAATCACGTGATGCGACTCAGAAAAGGAGCTCGCTACTCAGTTGGTACAGAGCGTAGTTGGTATGAGTAGCGTCGATGATGACTAATGTCTGTTTATACTAGGTACTATGTACTTCGTACACTAAAGTACCTGCTACGTGCTATCTAGTACCTCCTATCTCCCTAGATATACGTCCGATTATCGATGTAGGTATTCAAAATAAACGATCACAACTTCTCAGATTCGGCATTAGCTAGTGTGTTTATTTTTTGCCTTTGCGAGAGATCGATACCTCCGCAGCCAGCATCCACGCCGAGCCTCGGGTGCGCGGTCTTCCTTCAGTCTTCCTTCACCCCTCACGTGTGGTGTTGTCGGGATGGGAATTGGACCTATGTTATCACTTGCACTGCGTAGAAGAGGGCATTCCTCAACCACTGGCAGCAAGGACGCACCAGGTAACACCAAGCGGACACTGAGCCGCCAATGTCAGTTCTGCGAAAAGGCCATCTCTAAAACAAAACACCCGTTCCGACCTGAGAGAAGTCACGCGAAATAACATCCATTTCGTTGCGTACTGTGCAACAAGTTTTACAGATATGATAGTACGTCTGGATGAAAGCCGACTACTAGGATTAATCAGACTAGTAGTGCTCAAGTGACATGCTGTTGCGCCACGTAAAATCCCATGGCCCTGGTATATCGCCGCCTCGGAATGAGAACATACGTTCCAGCACAGCAGGTACCTAGGGGTCTAGTGGCTGGCCTGGCCTCGGACGACCACTCCAGCCCACGATGTGCAATGACCGAGTTAAGCAAATTCTATCAGTTTTGCAGATAAAGCACTATTCAATCCCAGCCATTTCTCGACAACGGCCACTCAGACTTTTTATGCCTCATGTGGAAGGCATGGCGGCGCTAGCGATATGTCGCACGTATAAGATCCCATCCCAACGCCCCTCTCTGCCATGTATGGAGACTTGCCTCTCCTGGCTAGCAACTCTTCGGGTGACTCGCTCGTGCCCTGGGGTCCGCTTTGGCTGGTTAGATATAACTTCCACCTTGATGCCTTGAATATATCAGTCTCTAGCATGCTGGATATTTCACAGCCACGCTTCTAGCCTCGTGTGGGGTTCCAAGATATGCTGTCAATTCTGAAAGACCAACTAGGCTTGGCTACGGAGGTTCGGCAAAGATCTAAGTCAGGCACTGATAAAGTCCGGGCTACTTGGTTTATCCAGATAGAGTATGATGGGCATGAAGATGGCACACATGGCGCCCACCAGCACGGGACAATTGATGCCAGTCACCGACGAGAATCAGTAGATTCAATACAATGTCGGGATACTTTTCGTAGTCGTATCACCGCTAGACTAAAAGCCCCTACATATGATCCGTCGCCCTATACAAAGTTCCTGGTAAGTTAGCTATGGCCTACATTGAGCTTTGACTACTCTAACAATGCTAACAAACTAACTCAGAACTTTCCATCCAGGTTTACTTTACAAAATGCAACCAGACTTTTCCTGTGATTCATGGACAAACTTTTAGAAACTCTCATGTACTATTGCCCATGACCTCTATTGGTAGTCTGCTGCTCGTATCCAGAGCAGCTGCAGCACACGAAACTAGGATATTCGAAAGGCTCAACAAAGCTATCCTCGCATCTGTGAGTTTAACTAAGCCTTGAGAGCTATAATGTCGAACGACTTTAACACAGTTGGAGAAGTCTCTCCTTTGACCTACGCGAAGCTAAGTCAATGATAAAAGCGGCCTTAATTAGCTAAATATTTAGATTACTACCTTATCTAGCATAGGTAGTAGGCGCGCTGACTGTAGCCATAGCTAACGTTCTGTCAGATCCCCGAGGACCTTGCAATTGATGAAGTGTTTCATGGTACCATCATCCCCTGTAAGCCACCTTACGTTATATGCGCAGGATTTTATACTGACAAGATATGTTAATCTTCACGGCCATCATGCATCACAACCAGCTTTAGAAGAATTACGATTGAGACCTCGGACATATCAGACAAGCTGCTTATGTTGTACTAACCGGGATCTCAGCACTCGTCAGCGAAAAGGAGTAGATCGGGCTGGTAGAATCCAGTTCAACTAATTTTACCATATTCTTTGATGCGTTGACATATTGGCACTTTACCTTGGCTCACCTTAATGGATCTACAAACAGAAACGACGCATCTAAGCCTGGTTTCTTTCTCCACATGATTAAAGTGCTTTGGCACACTGACTGGATGGAACTAGTGACAAACTTTGACATCCTCGAAAGTGCAGCTGGAAGGAATGGTCCAGACTCGCCCACCACACAGTATGATCTTGATTATGCTCGCCAGTGGGCAAATTCTGAAGCTACCCAGAGCTGCATGCACACGCACTGCTGCATTCGGTAGGTGTAATGCGATTAGATTCAGAACTTGCCATGCATATACAGGATATCCCGCACTGCCTGTTTCTCGGCGGCACTATGTCTTACAGCTATACAAAGTTCCACCATCCAGGGCAGTCAGAATTTTGAGACGGCTATCATCCAACCAATAGAACGTCAAAAGGCGAGGCAAATGCCTTTCCAGAATTACTGTAATGTGGGATTCCCGTTCCGAAACATCCATCAGTAGAGTATAATTCTTCAGGTTACGAAATCAGCGCGGCAGGTGAACAGTATGCCGCTGGTAATGTGCCATATCGGTCTCTACCAGATCTTGGCTCTGTTACTGGAATTATACTCACAAGTATTAACTTATTAGAAAGGATTAGACACTAGGAGTGGTGAGAAAGTATGCCGCAACGTTGTCGGCGTTGGCTAAAGGCGAAGGGGATGAAAACTGGGCGTTAATTATGAATAATAACTGAAGGCGTTGAGATATAAGTCAAAACGTATGTATAACCATTGGCTATTCTCAAAGGCGTTGTTGTACTTGAGCCATAACTCGAATTTCTCATTCTAAGAAGTCAGTTGGTACATCCGGTCGCTAAACAGCAAGAGATTCGCTGCTGGTTAAATTAGATCTTATCTAGGTATCTTTGTTCACGGTATCCCTGTCCGAGTAATTCTAGGTTGCCTACCAGTACATTTTACGCAGAGGCGTACGGTTCTATACCTACTTCTATCTTACGTCCGGTAAGATCCCACGGTCCTGATTCCCCACCAACGGTAGAAGATCTGCCACCCTAGAATATGGCGCCCAACATCCTATACCAAGTTATATCCCTTAGTTCTAACCAGCTAAACAACATACAAGGGAGTTTGAGTCTTTTCACCAAATTTAGATACACGACTCCCCGATGGCCCAAACGCCGCGTGTCAAAGTCATGAACTTTGAAACTATAATGATGCGCTTGTAGAATAGGATGCTTGTTCATGAAGAACAAGTAGTGGTTAACGTATTCATCACCACGATCAATATGAGCAAACAAGACAACCACGTGTTGCTTCTCTGGTGATTTTGGGTTTGGATATGGGATAAGTAGGTAGTTAGATGGGCGAGATTGAAGTTGGGCATGTAGAACTAAACTTGTATCCCGAAGTCGACGACGTAAAACCCAAAGTGTGGAAGATGTGACTATAAGGACTGGACCCCTTGATGCTTGGGCTGATTAACTTACTTTGTGCACAGCAGCAGGTTGTGGGGAAGTGTGGAATAGCTCCTGCTTATCCTATTCCTAGTTGTAAACCACCTTCTCCGGCAGCTTTCTAGTCTTCACTCTCTCCTAGCCGAGGACAAGAGTCGGAGGAAATCGTTATGGGTAAAGTATTGCGGTTTCTTGAGCCACCTCCAGGGGGGTCTGTCAACTCTTCAATTCTAGTAGTACTCGGCATTTTTGCAACTCTAAGAACATCACTATAAAGTCCTTTAATAAATAGAATTGAATCGAATTACGTCTTAAATCAGCCAAGCTCCCCGCCTAGGTACTGTACTTCTTCGTTTCTCTCTCTTAACTACATAAACGTAAATCTAACTGCAGTAACCCCCCCAACACATATTCTCCTCGGTGGAGCTATGTGAACATCACTACAGAACTAGACATACACGCCATTCGGGTAGAAAATAACCCCACATCAACGTGCCTTCCCATCCAAGTATCAAACACATCAAAATATATCCACAGAGCTCATTCCTAGAAAGTGTAGTGACGGCCAAATGGGACCTACTCTTTCTCGCGGAGGCGCAATGGCCGTGACCGGATTGTTGGATGCCACCGGCCCCCAACATGTATCTTGCGCTTATTGAACTCCACTACAACAAAGGTGACCTGCGACCATGGCCGCCCAGTCGAAAGCCAGACCACGGATAGTTTGCAAGTGTGTGTCCAGTATGTCATCCACTGGAAATTTGTGTGCTGAATCTACCGGTGGGAGCTGACCTTCGCCGCAAATAGGGTTATATGATGGCGCCCAGGGGACAAGTAACCCGGTCGTGCATTTGTTGGCGACCAACGAGGCTTTAAAGAGGCTCGATCTCGACGTTAGTAGGCATGGGGTCATCAGCAGAGGAAGTTCGATTCTAGAAGATGGGAGGCCGATTGGTGTTGGGGTGATTGGATGTCAGTAGTTCCACCGAGAGTCCTATTAGGTGACCATCATTACTTACTGTTCCTAGCGCCCGAGTGGTAATAAATGTTATAACATAGCCACTACCAAAAGGAGAGGATGGGATCAGAGGAGTTTGGTGGTCCCTTGGGGGAGAATATCATAAATGGGCTATTTAGCCACATGGGGCTCTCGACTCAGCTCGAGTGCTTGTACCAATAGTACTCGGTAAACAGTCCACCAACGCCGGGCTAAAATACACAAATTAAGACATCAAACCTATTTCCCACATAGTGTAGAATCAGTAGTCATCATCGCCACCTCCACCATCTCCTTCATCTCGGTCTTCACCATTGTCAAAGTACTGCTCGCCGTCATAATCGCCCGCCATCTCGTCGTCTTCGAATTCAGAGTCGACCTCTAAAGGGAATAATTAGCAAAATACAATAACAGAGGGGAACTCGATATATACCAGCCTCATCCTCAACCTCATCCTCGGCCTCCTCGATATCGTCGCCGTCGCCTGCAACCGAGAAGATTTTCTCTAAAACGGCCTTTGTCTTCTCCGATGGATCTTTCATGGACCCTAATATGAGGGCCTTCTTCTGCATTGCTCGATTGATAGATGTACGGACTTCTTCACCTTCGGCTCCGTCAAGTGTTGACCACAGTTCTTTAGGGAAAAGCTCCTTGCCTGCAAGGGTTAATATTTAGGAGGCTCGACTTATGTCGCATCTAGAAAAACACTCACTGAATGGACGGCCAGACAGCTTAGGTATATCATTCTTTTTTGGAAGATATCTCATGGAATATGTCTCAACACCCAGAAAAGGGTCCATATCAGCCTTGCGGTTTGTACCATATTGGCGGTTGAACTGATCCTCGCCAAAGGTCTTCGTTGGATGGTCCAAATTGCGCTTCGTCGATTGGGTATAAAGAGGTCCGCGGTGGATTTGGGTTTGCAGGTCTTTGAATTGCTTAATTTGCCGCTCTTCAATTTCGGTGAAGGGTGACGGTCTTTTCAAATTGGGATGCTTCTATGAACTTATTAGAATGGCCAAAGTAGAGACATTGAGAATACACACTGGGAATTTATCGGAGGGTTTGGTCTCAAGTCGGAGGTCGGCATCATATTCCCATGTTGCTCCCTTTAGGCCCCCATCTCTTGCTCCTCGAAATCCGCCTCGCCCGCCCCGAGACATGTCGTAGGTCACCAAAGTTGGCCCAGGAGAGGCTTCTAATGCAATGCTTTGAGTACCAGGATATCAGCAGGTATGAGTAGGGATATGAGGTCTGCTGAGCTGATGGCGCGTATCACAGCTTACCCCCCTACTCGCAGTGGCTGTCGCAGCAGCTTTGTTGATTGTGATCGCAAACTATGCCTCAACTTCAATTTTTGAGATAAGATATTAGATGTTGGTGGGGCCCTACGAGTACTTATCTGAACAGCACGGCGAAATGTTTTCCCGTTCCGGGTGCAAGACACCCACAGCCTTGCCCGCCACCAACAACATAGAACCAAGCGTACTACATCTATACTAGGTATCTGCGATGTCCGTTGTGAACAGCTTTGATTCCCACTCACTGAAGATCTGCTGGTGTTTTGGTGGTATCACCTGGTCATCACAACTTGCTGAACTTTGTTGACAGAGCAGTCCCGGAGGACAGCCAACAGGAGACCATCTTGCAGTTGCCATAGTTCACAATTTCAAGTGTCTGTGGTGCAACCACTCAATAAAAACATGGACGACACACCAATAACAGGCTTGGAGGAGCTGGAGACCCATTTGCAGCTCCTGGTTAGTGAACCGGATACACCGCTTAATGCAAAGCTCTTTGATGAGGTGGAATTACAACTTAACGGTAAGTGAAACATACCCCACCTCAGAGCCAGCTACCTGTCGTTGGACTTGTACTAAGATCGAGCCCTGACACGTTCTAGATGGAAATATATCCCCTTTAATACCACGGCTACTTCCCACCCTCACTCAAATCCTCCTGGCCTACCCGAACGACCCCTCAATTCTTACGAGCCTCGCTATCAAGCTTCTCCGGCCGGTTACGTTCGCGCAAGCTCTCACGATGGCTTCCGAAGAGGCATTAATTCGAGCTTTGCAATCTCCAGCTCCTTCCGCCAATCTCCTGGCTATTACAGTTCTCCAAAAGGCAGCCAGGAGCCCTAGTGACACTGCAATATTATCGGTCATGAAAGGGCTCGTGGAGGCGTTCTTTCGGACGTGGCTCAGCACACCACACGTCGAAGTTGGAGAGACAGCCACTCAGACACTTGGTGATCTGTTGGAAGTCGACTGTGATAATAGATCATCGGCTAGCATTGACACAAAGATGAGAGGCATGCAACTATCATCAGGCATGCCACCAGGTCAGGGACTCCTATGGCGGCGAATTTTCCAAGACCGTGAGGTCTATGAATCAATCTTCTCTCTCTGTAGTTTTCAGACATTAGGGACTGGTCACGGCCATTTGGATGAGAGACAAAAATCACTAGCACAAGGTCGATTACTGCGGATTATCCCAAGGCTAGCAGCGCTTGATTTCCATGCGATCACGCACACACACTTCCCCGATGTCGATCAGCGATTTGGACTACAATATGGTGAACAGGGTCTCCTATATTTTGCGATGGTTGACATGGTTAGTAAGCAGGACGACGTGTTGATGCATACGACCTTGGTTTACATGTTCATCGAGTTCCTCGAGGTAATGAGTATTACCGAGCTTACTCAACCAACTGTAGAGTATTTGGCAGGCTTAGTGAGGAAGGTCGCTGCCGCGGACGAGGCGTTATACAAGTCTCTTGGGTCCATTGCGCTAAATCCGGAGACGCCGCCGGAGTTTGTTGATCTGTTAGTCAAGCTGAACAAATATTACCAATAGAGTCATAGATATCCTGTTATTCCGAGTCGAGAAGTCTATGGCTTTAAAATGCAAGTTGACCCCAGTGTTGGACTTCAACCTGCGAACTCTCTTGATAAACTTGCTTGAGTTATAAAGTGTCTTCCAATGAACTCCGGACCAAATCAACGGTTGATCATTTCCCTCGGAAGTTGAGCCGCAAATATCCACCAACACGACTGGGACTCCCACATAACACGCGTCGCAGGATAGTTTTGCATCCAGAAGCTACATAGCGGTGCTTGCTTCCCATACAATATCCTCTTGCCAGGGTAGCTGCAGGGCCGCTGGGCGGCCATTGCTGTACATAGGTATGAAAAATTCGAGAGCCACTGGGGCACCCATAGAGCTGATATACGACACCCCACTACACCTTCTCCACAAGCCCGCCGAGGGTAGCTTCGTCATCCAGTGGCATAAAGCCCAGGTCTCCCTTGGAATGCCCCAGAGGAGAGCGACGAGAACAACATGTTGCTGGATATGGAAAGGCTGGACGTAATTGAAGTTATGCGACCCAAGGCTTATCGCCCTATTCGGTATTAAGAGTAGGTAGTTTTCTATTCCTCGGCAAACCCTTAGCGCTGGCAGATGTGCCGGGCTACACTTCACAAGGGGAACCAAAAGGAACAGGTCTCTGGGTCTCTGAGCCTCTGACAACTCATATCTGTTTGATTATGGGTCGTCTTAATTCTTCCCTAGACAGTATTTCAAATGACTTTCGTGTGTAGGGGGGACTCGGTCGGTAAAAAAAAAGTATTCAGTGTTTTCTGTAGCCAACAGACACAGTCTGAAATATCGCATTGGTTCCTTGATGTATGAAGTATACGGAGTGTATCACCACACCCGATTGCCAAGGATCTTCCCCCCTAAACACCAGAAGCGAGCGGAGCGGAGCGGAGCGGGTGTGTGGCAGTGCCACGGCAGGAACGGTAAGCTTGGCGCGCTACTTCATACTTCGTACAAGCACCAAGCAGCTTATGTCATCGCTCATCACCACCACCACCTCCAGACGACGAGACTGCCCTCCTCCTCAAAACCTCGCGACAGCTTCGAACCTGATATCCAGTTCTTGCATGCGCCCTATTCTTCTCTTACTTGTTCCTCGTCTCTATCACGGATGCGATCCTCTTCTTTCTCGGTGCAGCTGCGGAGTTGATTTGGTGCTGGTGCGGTGTTGATTCCACAGTCCCAGTCCCCTCCACATCATGCGACCTCCAAGAATCATTATAGCTGCGGTTTTCTTCTTAGCCACCGTTTTCCTTACATTCTTGTCGCTGCGCTCCTCACATCCTCCACCAACGATAGAGACCTCGTCAACGTCGACATCAGCACCGAAGCCTAGCGTGCGCTCGTTCTTCTCCGTCCGAACACCCTTCTCCCTCTTTCCTCCGAATGCAATCATAACATTGACGCACGAAAACTCGACCGCATTTCTGGCGCGACCTGCCGCCTTTGGGCCATTACTACCTACGGAGGGGCTCAAGGGACAGTTATGGATCGGCAGTGGGTTTGGGGATGACAGCATAAGGCAAGGCCCGGTGGCCGCCGCGGCCGAGGGCGAGTTAGGATGCAGCGATGTGCCGGGTTGGGTGGAAAGCTACACAAAATCTGCTGCTACTGCTGAAGATGATGGGGAAAACGTTGCAGATGGCAAATCCGAGACGCCTGCAATTAGTTCCACTGTCCACCACCGTGGTATTCACGAGGATCAAGGCTTTGATAAGGCAAAGGGCCCCGAGGATCCATATCCCCACGGTGACGGGAAGGCGCGGAGGCCTTCGGCAGACGATGGCACAGATGATTATCTTCACCACCCTTTCCCAAACTCAAAAAACTCGAAGGTCCCAGATAAGCAATCTCCAGATTCAAAGGGAAACCACGCAGATATTCAGTCCATCCAAGAGGGTGCTGAAATCGCTGGAAAGGTGGTGCTGTTAAGTCGCGGCGGGTGTGGATTTTTAGAAAAGGTCAACTGGGCACAGCGGAGGGGGGCCATTGCGTTAATTGTGGGTGATGATACGAAAGGCGGACCTCTCATACAGATGTACGCTAGGGGAGATACATCCCATGTCACGATACCATCGATATTCACATCACGAACGACCGCCCATCTCCTCTCTTCTTTGATTGGCCCTGGAAGCTTTCTAGAAGATACCCTCGATGAGAAAGGGCAGCCTACTTTGAAAGTGCACCACACCGATAAGACTAAAAAGTCGGGAAAGATACCAGGCTCTCGCCCCACATTTACGCCTACAGCGGCGGCCGCCACAAGGCCAACGGCAACAACGCGGGCAGGTACAAAAGCCACAAGGAACACGCCAATAGCGGTTGTCCCAAGACAAAGCTCGGGGTTCTTTAAATCTTTGTTTTTTGGCTCAAGCAAAGGGAACTCGGAAGGAGACACCAGTCGGCCGCCTAGCAGCGGCCAGTTGGATTGGGTGCTTGTTGATGATTGGAAGGACGATGACACTTCGGGATCGAAGAAGATCCCAACAAAGCCAGCTAAGCCAACGAAGCCCAAAAAGACCAATTCGGGGAAGACATCATCACAGAGCAATAAACACGGCACCCAGCCCACATCTGGGGATGATTTCCTCATAGGTATTCAGGATTGGCGAGATCCTGATTTAGTAGGATCATCCGATTCTAAGGATACGGAGATTAGTGGAAAAGCCGCTGCAACGAAGCCGGATCCGAAGTCGGATGTTACCAACTTGAAAGGAGAGTCCCCTCGCCCAACTAAGGTGGGTGGGAAGAAACATACTGGGGGAGCTCTCCAAGAGATTCCAGAATATATGCCCCCTCTCCGGGGCGGGAGCATTACTCCAGGAAGTGGAGAGTACGGCGCCAAATCTTCTCCTGCTGAGAATGAAGACAAGGCTCAAGAGCAGCCTAAAGAGACCAATGGCAAAACTAAGGGACTCTTGACAACCATTTTCGGTGATGATGAGGAGGATGTCGGGTTTCTTTTACCTGCTGTTGGCCAGTCCGCAGCCATAGGAGATCATGAGTCGTCCGAAGGGTTTAGAGCGGACGGTGGCGAGTACGAAGGCTTATGGGTTACTCTAACGCCGACGAGCGGGGCAAGCCCGTTCCTTGATACCCTCCTGGTTCTGGTTGTGAGTCCTCTCGTTACATTGACGGTGGTATATTCCCTCCTCCTAGTGCGTTCCAGAATACGACGCCGACGTTGGCGAGCACCAAAATCAGTGGTTGAGAGGCTTCCAGTCCGGACTTATCAGACCATCAACCCATCTGGGTCCCAAACACCACCATTTCCAACGACAGGCAACCCGTCGGTGACCACTCCTCTTCTTCAACGATCCGCTCCAGCACGGCCGCGGCCAAGATCAAGGACCACAACTGGTATACCCGAACCGGGAGACCTTATGCGAGCCAACTCTAATCCTTTACAAGTACCAGCCATCCCACCACTTACTCCTGAATTTGAAAAGCACACCGGCAGTGAGTCAAGCCAATGGAGGAAATATATGGGACAGCAAATAGAGTGCGTAGTATGCCTCGAAGAGTATGTTGATGGGGTAAGCCGGGTGATGAGCTTGCCTTGTGGTCACGAGTTCCATGTTGATTGCATGTAAGTATCGATCCGGTACCTGTTAGAGTCGCTTGCTGATCAAACCAGAACACCATGGTTGACAACTCGAAGACGAACATGCCCTATATGTAAAGGCGATGTCGTTCGTTCCTTGGCCCGAGGGTCCCCTTCAAGCCCGCGCTACGAGGCATATCAGGACGACAGTGACGGTGATATTCAAATACAAGCTGCGGAGAGAAGTAATATGTCTTCATCGGCATTGCCCATCACAGGCGGTATAGATGATGATGACGATGTCGAACGAGGAATCATATCACCAGCACCCACTAGACCTCGAGTATCTGACCAAGCAGGGAGCTGGAGAAGTCTCCTTGCCAGTAGTCTCAGCTCAGCATCGCGAAGCCCACGCCAGTCCCAAGAGGACCGGAATCGCTAATCACGCCTCATGTTAATATATTTCGCTCGCCTAGTGCTGCAGCGCAGTGCTCTTGACTCTTTATGTTTTGATGTGTTTTTGGTGTACAGGGTAGAAATGCGTGATGGGGCCTTTCTTCTCTTATCTGGCAGGCTTTTGGGATGGGAAACTTGGGTTGAAGCACAGCGATGGCGCATACCACTCTTTTACATGAAACCTTTCTTTTGTTCCCCCTCTTGCCTCTGTGTGCGGGCTGCAAGTCAATCAGGGGAGGGTTATCCTCCCCTGTTCTTCTGATACACGGCTATTGGGGCGATTGTACGTATAATCGGGGATACTACGTCTAATCTCATAGATGAGTGAAGCCTTTCCAGGCCGCTCAGAGGCCGCTCATGCGTTCGTGGGGTGCGTTGTTTGTCGTGACTGCTCAATGGGGAAGCTCCTCGATGTTCCATACCTACTTCTGTAAATTACCAACAAGACATTCTAACCATTCTAACCATTCTAATCGCGTCCACGATCTACTTACTACAAACGATGATGATGGGTATCAGGGTCAATGTGCATCAGAGTAACATTGTATACCTATACATTCCAAATGACAAGAATGGTCCTATTTTCCTAGATGTACAACCCCCAAGGTAGAGGTAATTGCCGTACTCTGCGGCGATATCATCAGAAACTACCCAGGTACAATAGCTTGGACGAACCAACTGGAAACAGAAGGGCAAAAGCGTACGTAACCCTCAGCGGCTCAGCCCCTTACGAAGTACGAGTACCTCTCTGCCTAGAATGTGTCCCCTGCCAATGCTGGCCTGTACGAGATGAGAGAAAGTCGAGTTTGGCTCAAAGTGCGAAAAGAGGCAAATAAGAGCGGGCGAGGGAATCGAAAAACGTAGACCAAATCCCCTTTCGCCAAGGAGTTATCAGCAGCACTTGGTATGTACTACGTACTACGTAGATCGTACATCGTATATCGTACATCGTACATCGTATATCGTACATCGTATATCGTACACCGTACGCTGTAAGCAATAAATAATGCCCTTTCGACGCACTTACTGCCTCCCTAATATTACTATTCTCCCTTCTCCATAGATTCCATACTCCATAGATTCACGGGTCGGCGTACTCGTATCTGTATTCGTACAGTACCTAGGTACTTCGTACCTGTACCTGCACCTGCACCTGCACCTGCGTTTCCGTATTCGCTTCCATGACGTATTCGGGTGCTGCAAAGTTCAACCCCCCCTTTTATTTTTATTGTCATCCTTAATATGATTAGACCTTTTTGTTCACTTCAAACATGTTCGTGACGATTCTTTTCGATGAACCTGCCGTGGGCGCCTCGGTAGTTAAATAATAGTCCTTTTCTTCAGTTTCGCTTGCAAAGTAGAAAACGTTGCTCAACGTCCAAAACCCCCACAGCCTATTCCACCCGCTAGGACGTAGCGATCCCTTTTCTTCGCGGTGGAGATAGCTATTGCTGTGTTTATTGGATGGTTGGGGGATAAGGTTAAGTGTATATGCAGAGCACTGCGTACTGTACCTAGCGCATTTGCACCTCATGGGAAAATCTCGGGAGGTTTAATCCGTGAAAGATCTGCCCTCTACCCTCTAGGATCATAATAAAGGAAGGGGTTGGTGGCGTTTACTAGATACTCGTGTGCATTCCAGCGCCCAAGTGAGGTGATGATGGACTGCCTATGACATAGTGCGAGTCAATAAAGCAAAGTCAATCGCCCTCTATTGACTTTGACAAGCCGAACCAGCTTGGGTTTAGGCTCGTATTTACCGCTTCCTGCAAACTTTATGCATTTTATACTTCACTTCACACACGCCCTGTTTAGCGGCCAGAGCAGTTGGATTTCCACCTCAAGCCCCACGGTCGACAACACAATAATAGAGCACGCCGTATGACTCAGTTAACTAGTCCATATCTACAGTTACGAGGACACTGCTATAGTAAGCCGGGCTCTGCAATCCCGGTTAGGGCGCTGATGCCGGCGGGTTTGTAATCCACTCGAAAAGTGCTGATATAAGCTTTAAATCGGGATTAGGAATCATCATTCACGTTCGGTTTTCCTCGCCACACCAACTTTTTACCTTGTATACCTAGGTAGTTTGCTTACATGAATGGATGCGTGATTGAACGTGACTTAATATCACGCCCTGTTTTCTAGCTTTGGGGTAAGTTGGGGGATGTGGTTTCGATCGCTCTCGACTTTCGCATATGTGGAACGTATGGCGTATATGGGACCTGAGGGTTTTCTTGTGCTCGCAAACGCAGAGAGAGAGTGTGGGATTGATCAGCTGTAATATTATGTGTCTTCTCTCGGGTCAGACTGATTCCCACCATGCCCGTTGATTTCCCCTTCCCAATGCTTTGAATTTGACCCCTAGACGCCATGACCATTGCCCCAGTCCAGCCTATTGTACACCCGCCCACCCTATCCACCGACCAGGAGACAGAACGAATGGGAATCTTGTAGTAAGATAGTAATAAAAAAAGGAAATTCGTAGACTCTTGTCCTCTTCCCAAAACGTAAAAAGAGAGAAATATCGTAAAACGCTCCGAACCCCGCAAGCAATGTTATCCAAACCGGCCCAAAGGAAACTTTTCAGCGCATCGTTGTGAAGCCTAATTTTTCTGCAGTCGCGGAGGGGAGTAAACTATGCAATCCCCAACTGCGCCTCATAATCCGTACTCTGATATAAAACGTCCATCTGATCAAACATCTCCATCCCCGTACTACAATCCAACATATTCGGCCTGATGGTTCCCTCGGCGAAATTCATCCCATCACTAAACTGTATGGCCTTCAACATATTCTGCTCCAACCCGAGTCCCCCAACCCGCGTGCCATTGAAAGCCTGCTGTGGTTGCTGCTGCGCAGGGATGGCTTGCGTTTGTTGCTGCGCCCGCATGTAATGGGCCGTGAGATCGAGGGCGTGTGCAGGGCCAAGGAAATCGTCGTTTGCGGACCAGGGAGAGAAGGGCGAGCCGTTGCGGAGCATGGGCGAGTCCATTTGGAAATCCGTATAGATTGGTGAGGGCATGGAGTTCGAGGACGCCGCTGTGTCGAGGGCAGGAGGCGTTTGATATGCGGCCCCTTGCTCATCGCCTGATGCTGATGGTCGCTGCGAGAGGGTTAAATGGACGGGTCGCGACATGGGGAGACTATTTGATTTTGCGATGGCGGTTTTGGCGGCGGCTTGTCGTTGGGCCCAGATCATTTGGTTGTAGTCCTTGGACACGATCGAGTGATCGCTCTCACTGCTGCTTGCTCGATCTGTGCGCTCTAGAGCTGGCGAGTCTGTGGAGGAATCATGGGATGTCCGCCCAGCATCTTCGGCGGAGTTATTCTCTGGGCGGTGGGCTTGCAATTGGGCTTGCAACTCTGCGAAATCTTCGGCGCCTTCTGGGAATGCGTAGGGGAGATCGGGAGACGGTCGAATACAGCCCAGTCGAGAAGCGATGTCGTGAATGACTGGTTGGCCTCTCTCATTTAATTCTGGCTCTCCCAATTCCCACGAGTCGTTGTTGCGAACCATTGTGTACAGCTTTTGGACTGTTGCGATAAGTGCATATTGTGTGTTCTCCAGGACTTCCGCGTATCTAGAGAAATGGAGTTAGATCATCCCCAGGTAGATATGTGCGTCGTCGGCGCATGGAAATAGTAGAGACATGCCCTCGAGGTAACTGTTTGAATTCCGTCTTTTTCCTACTCCCAGCCGTGCAGACCAACCCGTCATCTTTGCAGCGTTTACAAGGAGACTCCCCATCACACTGTGTGAGGAGTTAGTCATGATGTAATCGAATTTGATAAGTATTGTTTGCAAATAGCTACCTTTGTTTTCTTCATCCTACATCGCTCACACGCTTTCCACACTCTTTTATGTCGGCCATCAATGGCCATGGGGCCATGCTCATGTGAGGACGTGGTCCTCTTGGAAGCTCGACTCGACTGCTTAGTCGACTTGGACGGCTTCCTGGCGAGGTGGTGGGATTTATGATCCTCCATCGTGAAACAGAACAAGAAACCACGCACAGATAGCAGCAGCAGCAGTAAACACCCAGAAAAATATGGGATTTTGTTTTTGTGGTAGTACAAAACAGGCGGCGCAGATCGAGCAAAGTTCAGATATATATCAGGGCCGGAAAGTCAACTGGCTGGCTGCGTGTTGATTATATGATCGGACGGCGGACCCACCGTCCCGGGGTCTGGGTCTGCACAACTTTTTGCGGGATATTATTCTTCTGACGCTCCGTCCTGATCTTATGTCCGACCAGCCTTGTGCCTTGCGCTCTTGGTGGGCAACGGGAGTAATCGGGGGCCGTCTAGGTCCTGGTGACCTCCGAGTAAAGACCTTGACAAGGGAGAATAGGGGGCCCGTTGCGGGACAAGTTCGGGATGTGTTCGTCGAGGGCTCGACTCATGGGAAAACGCAGATGTGGTTGAGAGTTTGCACCGGAGAAAGGCTGTACTTTCAAATACATAATAGGGAGTCATGAGGGCGCCCACAGGCTGGGTCTTTGACTTTGAATTAGGCGGTGCAATCTCGGGTTGGAACTTGGGAACTCGGCGTTGCGTTGTATGGCTGGTGTCGAGTTGTGTGGTTGAGTGTGAGCTGTACTGTACTGTACCTACGTACCAATAGTTACGACAGTGGTACTAAGAAGTCGGTTCAAGTTTAGCTTCTACTCGCTCTTTTGCATACGGGCTTGGTGGATGCCGAGCATTAATAAGGATGACACCGAACAAAGAGATGCTCCATTGGCTGGCGGATAATTGGCTGGCAATCGCTCAGGTAATGAGATGATCATGTCTCTTTTGCATTCCTTTTTCCTCCTGGTAATTCTAGTCGCCAAGACGAAACGCTCCCGAATGAGGCAACGGGACTGAGTCCTTCCTACATAACTCCCTATAGTTGCTGGGGATGTTGTGTTGTGCATCTCCGTCGTCCATACAGAGGCACCGGTACTGGTCGCAGCGGGAGTAGTAAAGCTCCGGACGGACATAGCCATTAGTAATAATGCAATATAGTGACACAAGGGGGCGCATTCCTGGCCTGCAACCGGAAATCCAGTGCGAGTCTGTGGGAGTTGGAAACTTGAGAGGCGTCGGAAGTGCAGCCACAATACTACGCATTCCCAACTATCTGAATAAGGTTGAGAGCTACCAGGTACCTAGGTACAATACCTTCGCAACCAAGCAAGGGCTGGCTGAGTCGTATAGCTCGAGGTTAACGTTTAATGTTTAATTGTAAAAACAATCGCCATCTCTAGAAGCCGTCGAACATGCATGCTTGCCGCTATTCTAGGGGCAACCTCCCTCTGGGCCCCTTGGTAGAGTTGAAGCATACTTCGTACATATGTCGTGAGAGTACGGAGTAAAAAACAGATTTTGCCTCTGCACAACAAATTGGAAATATTCCAACCTCTGGGCCATTCCCACTGTGACGCCAAGGGCGTGAGTCGTGCTGTGGATCGCCAGTCTGGCCACTATCTAATAAGCAAGTGGCTCTCACTGATCGTTCATTATTATTGCGCATTGCAAACGGCTTGTCGGTGCCGCTGGTTTCGGCCGAGAGGACGAGGTAGACGTGCAATAGGAGCTTATTGGAGCAAAGACAAACACCTGGGTAACTACCTAGGTAGGTAACAACCTTCAACAGGTGCCGAGGAAGGCCAGATGGATAATTTAGCATCTGCTTTCGGTCTAGAACCTATCTATCACTGGGCTGGCCGAGGATCTGATAACCGGCATTGCATCATCATCGCCGATTATTAAAGGACGTCATACATACATATGATATACTACGTACAGCCGTTTGCAAATCGGGCGACGAGCAAACGGTATAGGTGATCTCACTATCTAGTTACTTATTATTCTTATCGGCGCCTAGCAAAGACCGCGCACCGCTCTCGTACGAGTAGCCAGGCCGATATGGATAGTACATGTACAGTACATGTACGATGGACGCTGTACAACTCGACGAGTACGGAGTTGTCTTGAAAGTCTTGAAGATCGGGCCAAGGAACGCCGGAGCTTAAGCCTAATCGACTTGGCCCAGTCCCGCCGAGACGACGGAACAAAGAAATCGATATCGGGGCTGAACAACGGGGATCAATCACCAAGCATCAATTATTAACTCTGGTTGTGACGGCACAGTTGGGGGGGG